CCCCCACACACACACACACACACACACACACACACACACACAGATCACACACACACACACACACACACACACACACCACACACACACACTGGCAAAGATTATTTTAATAAAAGTCTTCTTGTTGGGTGCTCCTTCCAATTTTTAAATAGGTTCTCACATCAACTTTCCGGCATGTAGGTAAATAAGGAAACGACTTTTTTTTCTTTCTGTTCTTTGCACTCACGCAGAATACAAATTGCAAATCAGTGCCTTTCTCATTTCGACAAAGGCAACATTTGAATAGGGTGTTAAGCTAAGGAATACATACTGACAGTTTGATACGCATAGAAGACGGCCCAATGTGTGTGTGTGCGCGCGCGCGTGTGTGCATGTGTGAGAGAAAGAGAGAGAAAAAGAGGGGGGAGTCTCATACTGTTTCTCGCTTGAGAAGAAGCATAACAAGTGGCGTGATGGTGTCACCTGCTGTAAACATTAATGCCCTGGGTCAATTTGTCAAAGTAAGAAAACGACAAAATGCTACTTTTGTACGGGCTTGATCCTGGTGGATATACACTTAGCACTAACGTACCAAAATGAATTAAACCTAAAAACAGTGCCTCACATTTCACTCAGATGTAAAGAATTTCAGTGGAAACTGGCGACGGGGCAGCTTGAACAGTTACATTTATTCCCGGGGTTTCAACATGGTACAGAGTAGGGTCTGATATTCATTACAAAAATGAATACAAATAAATTGTCGCACTCAGAAATAGTGATATATCTCTTGTTTTACACAATGTGTCTGCTCTAGAAACCGAACACTGAAGGCAAAAGAGACAGATCGAAAGGGAATAATGTTTGGTCCCAGTTTTCACAATTAACGTAAGGCCAAATTTAGGTCTTAAGTTTGATACCAGTTTTAAAAATAAAAAAGATAAAATGACAGGTCGTGAAATTAGATTTAAAAAGGCAGTATTGGATTGATAAAACAGTGCGCCTATTTCGGAAATAAAAATACTTTAAACCGCCGATTTCTGTATCTTTAGGGGCTACTAATGTGAGGATTTACCTTGAATTGAATTGGGTCAAATGATCTATCTTAATGAATTTAATTCAAGATTTCTTTTTTTTTTTTTTTTAATTTTAACCTTTGGCTGTACTTTTTTTAAAACTAGCCACATAGTTAAGTTAACGAATTTCAAATGGACTTCGAACAAGAAACAGAGTAACTTAAAGTGAATGATCACATTTAAATACATAGATTGCTACGGAATTATTTATTAATTTTGAATTAAAAATCTATTAACCCAAGACATAAAAGCAACTATCTTGTTTTATTGTTTTAAATTTGAGTTATTAAGATAGTCCTGCAAAGTGAAAATTTAGACAACAGCAATACTGCGCAGTTAGGAACTTTACCGCAAAGTAATTCAGCTACATTTCCATTGTTTGATAGCGAAGATTGTTAAGCTATACATCGACAAAAAAGTCTCGAAGGAGGCTGTTAGCTAGGATGCTGCATAGTCAGGCAAAACACTGTAAAATAACACTATTGCGTATATCAAGGCCTTGTGATTTTGGTAAATTTTTACACGGAAACTTGAAATTGCGAAAGTTTTTGATGGATTGTGTCACTTCGACCTAGTTACACGCGAGATGTGCATAAGTCTAAGTAATAGCATTCTTAATTTTGAGTTTACAGTTGCGTAATGATAAAAGAAAATACAAAGGTCTTGACATACGCTTAAGTGTGTCAGTAGCAGCTTACAAACTGCACACTTAGGCCCCTTCACATACCTAGATCGATCTAGCAGGATCGACCCATCAACAAGGGGATTCTCGCTAAATTGCATTTAGATGAAGCGGCTTAGATGTCTGGCACACCTAATGAAGCTACTAAACGATAGTTATTTACCCCCCTAACAGCTTCAGTAGGCGTGCAGACATCAGAACCGCTTTAGCTAAATGTAATTAGCGAGAAACCCCTCGGAGATGGGTCAATCCTGCTAGATCGATCTAGGTATGGGAATGGGGTGTAAGGTAGCTCTGCTGAGGAAGCAGTGTTAAGTAGTTGCTTTGATTTCGCAGACGAGTCCTTGGTTTCGATCGGAACAGTCCAGATCGTTCCAGCGACCGTGCTCTTGCCACATGTCAAGACAGTCTTCGTCATACCGGTTGTCGGGTTGACCACGGTCCCATTTACTGTACGTCATCTGCTTGCCATTCAGCCAGAACCAAGTACCTTCCCGATTTTTGTCATGGGCACCCAACCAAACGCGGTCGTCTGAAATGGTGAAAAGGATATATATATATATAAATATAGTACCGGTATATCCGTAGGCCCAAGATGCCGGAAACGACACCAGCCGAGACACCATTTTCGAAAGGCCAAAGGTTATCCAGGGACTTATCGCAGTGGCTGAATGGAGAGCCAAACTTCTAACTTAGTTTAATTTGGCACATCAGGATTCATAACACGAATATGAAAGTTAAAGGGTACCTTTTAGGTCTAGTATTCACGTTTGAAAATACCCCAAAGTCATATCCTACGAAGTTACTGATCTTTTAAGAATCAGACCATAAAAACGTTAAAACCCCTTAATAATAAAAAAAGTACCATGTACTTGTCAAACTTGTCAAGTTGAATGGCGCAACATTGCAACTGTCAATTACACAAACTGTACAACGGTACATGTGTTTTGAAACCCCCTTTACACTGGACGGTGTTCTTTCTGCGTCCTTTGTGCAACCATGAAACTGGAAGCGCTGTGGACGTAGAAAGGAGGCACAAGCATCGCTTTGGTTGCTGAATGAATGCTCAATGATCAGCCAGTTGTCGGCACCCAAGTAATACTTTTTTACTCTCAAATATGGCCATACTACGGGATGCAGAAAGGACACCGTTCAGTATAAAGGGGGCTTAAGCAAGATAATTAAAAAAAACTCTCAAATAATCAGTTCAGTGCATCTGTCATTGAAAGATACTCACCGGAATGAACGTCCTTAACCAGGTTCCATACGAAGTTGTTCTCTTGTTCATTTTCTATGGAGACAAGACGGGCTCCTGGGAGCAATTGCTGGCAGTAGACATCGGCGTCATTCCAATTGGAAACTCTCTTCACGTATTTGTACCACGAGTTCTGGTATTTGGTAAATCCAACTGTGGGAGAATTAGGATAAAATATTGTTAATATTTAATAAATTCATTTTGACAATTATATCAATTTTGTTCGTTATTTATATAATGATCAATATACAAACAAAAAATCAGTTTCTTTTTCTTTCCTACCCCTTCCCCTTGCTGTAATAATAATTGCATATGCAAGGTTCGCCTTTAATGTTTTCAAACGCGGTTAAAATCTTAAAGGAATAGCAACTCTTCGCAGGAAATTCAAAGTTCTGCAATAAATACAGTGTAAACAACACAAAAATATAATTAATTCTATTTTGCCACAAAAAAAAGCGGTTATCGCAAGTATTCTGAAATCTTTTCAGCCACTTTTCCCGCCAAAATGAAGAGTTGTTATCTCTTTAAGTAATTAACACCATGATTTCTGTGTGATTGTCATTTATATATATTCGATTGCGGGGTGCAATTCACTTACATTTGCTGGGATCAACAGCTGGTTTTGTTGTGCTTTTTAGTGCCTGTTGGTTCGCCTCTAGAGCCGAAACCTTGGCGATTTGCTTCTCCAAAGCCAGTTCCAGAGTCTTGATTTGGCTGCTGTGGTAACTGGTCAAGGCGACCTGATCACTGAGAACAGCGGTCAGATTGGCGACTTGCTCGGACAGAAGGTCAAGTTTGGCCTCCTGTGCCTTCATGACGATTTCCTTCGCTCCTATCTCCCTCTGTAGACTGGAGACGGTCAATTGCAGGGATTGGACCAATGCCGTCACATTGGCATTCTGGTTGGAAACCAATGTCATCTGCTTCTGTAGATTCTGTATCTGGCTGTGTGCAAGGTTCCCCTGCAGGGTGATATTGTAGGTTAGTTGCTGGTCAGTGGCCGCGAGGTCGTTCACCTTGTCCTTCATGGTCATCAGAAGCTGCTTGTGGTCAACCACAGTGGACTGCAGTTGAAGAAGGTAGTTCTGGACCTGGAGAAGGAGTTTGGTATAGTCACTGGCTCCTGGAGTTGGCTGACCACCGGCCGGCAAAATCTGCGCTTGACCATAGCTGCAGCAGGCAAATAACAATACGCACGTAATCAAAAGCTTCGTCATCGTCATCTTGGCGTCGTCTTGGCGTCTTCAGCAATTCTCGTCGTCGTCACCAAGAGGATGAGCAGCGAAGTAGTCGCGTTAAATTGGATTAAACTGCTTTTGTGCTTTTGGGACTGATGAGAAACACGTATGGGTGGTTACACAAGATAAAAGGGGGTCAGAAAATCGGTCAGGCGTGTGTGGTGATAAGGTTATGGTATTTAACTCTAAATATTTTGATTTTAGTTTGTTTACATTTAGGCCTCATGATCCTCTGACACAGTTTTCAATACCTTGGATACTAAGAGAAAACTGGTGATGTTCCGTGCTTTGTAACAGAAAAAACGTGGAGGTTATCTGATTTTTTGATAAAATTACACTTTTAATGCTCCCCAGGTTCTCTTTGACAGCGATAATGTTTCATTTTGCTCTGGGACTGAACTGAATTATGCAAGCGAAGTTCTTGATTTGTAACCGTGTGTTTTAAAATACCCTTGATTTTAACAATTGGATTTCAACCATTTATAGTATTTTATGACGCTTTTGGTTGTGATATATTAGCAGACGTTAGCAGTATCTGCACGACCAAGAAGTTTTTGTTTACATGATTACCTAATTTTACTTGTCAAGGACACCACAGCTTTGGCTCTGTCCGGGCCCCGATATGAATAGCCTTGTTGATGTCTGTGTGTCACTGTTGGTGAACAGCCACTTAACTAAATACTTGGTAAGTTAGATATCAACGCTGAACCATGGCACGCGCGTGTTTAAGTTGGTTACATGCCGCGAGAACATATTTTCATAAACAACTTGTCATGTGGAAAATTTTCTTTACTTGTGAAATCGAAGAGCGTTGAAAAATTAACCAGTAGGGTCTAATTGAAACCAAAAAATGTAACATTTCAGTAAAATCTAAATATACCTCTATTATACCAAATTTACGACCATTAATACAATACTAATACAGTTTGCAACTCGGTGTCAAATTTATTTATCTCGTTTAGCGGTGGGGAAACGATAACAATGTCACAACTCTATCTTTTCAATGATTGGGCCTACATGCATAAGCTACAGCATAATCTACATAGAATCTATCTCACAAACAAAGGGACGCTTAAGGTCGCTTGGGTTATCGTCCCACTGGCCGGTTTTCCATATGTTTAAACAGTCCTCCCCTGTTTTATAGTTATCAGGCTGTTTGGGTGCCCAGTTAGTGTATGTGAAAGACTTGCCATTCCACCATTTCCATTGACCTTCAGTGACCTTATCATGACCACCCAGCCACGTATTCACTGCAAAGAAAATCGATACGAAATTTAATAGTTTAACCACTCCTTGACATGATTTTTTTCGGGACCATGATATTTATTTGGGGTCATTCAGAACAGAAGATCCGAGGATCTACTGATCCACGGATCAAATATAGCTGATCGGTGGATCAGTAGATCCTCGGATCTTCTGTTTTGAATGGTCTCTTAGAAAATTGTAAATAATTTATTTCAGTTTACATGCAGTTGCTAAACAATGCCTACATTTATCTTTCTTGGTGAGAGCGAACACAAATTCATTTTCGTCCTCGCTCTCCACAGTGGCAAGGTGGGCCTCGGGGTGTAGTAACTGACAGTAGTTCTCTGCTTCAGCCCACGTTGCGGCCACGTTGACCAGCCGATATAATGACGTCCCATACCTACTAAATCCAACTGAAAAGAAAAAAAAACAAATTAATTTGCTAATAAATCTACTCTATATTAAGCAAGTGTTTTTTAATTGTGTCTGAGTAAATAAATAAATAAATAAATAAATAAAGATGATGCATAAATCAATTAGTGTTGATTTAAAAAAAACGACATTGTCATTTCAGTGTTTATTTTCCACTGTTTATCGATTGCATGTTTGCCATTGATGTTTTCAGAAATGTTTCGTCAAATAATAATAATAATAATAATAATAATAATAATAATAATAATTGTTCTTGTATAGTGCATTCCATTTTTTAAGTCAAAATGCACTTTAAAATTAACTTTCTTGAGTATAACGGCACTAAAACATGTCCTTAGTCTAAAAGTTTTAAAACATTAATTATGCGCATGCACTTTTGGCGCATCACGTTATACCGTAACCCGCCAAAGTAATGTGGTCCAGCAAATTTTTGTATGGTGGATTATTATCGTAATTAAAAAAGTTTTAATGAGTTTTTGATGTCCAAATCGTTGTTCATGTCTATGTGGGATTTATGTGCTTCTCTCTTGACTTAATTTAACAGAGCTGTTTACATCATCTCTGTGGGTGTGTTTAGTGTCAAAAAGTTATGATAGAAATTACTATGCGTTATCAGGCGTTGACGTCCTCACCCTCATTCCCCTAGTAGGTTAGAAGGATATCGTACTCTCTGCGTCTCAGTGGGCTAACCTCAAACTCAGCAAAACACTATCAGAAGATTTTAGAGATTTTCTCTTACATTTCTGGCTTTTTTGCAGTTGAATTTAACTGTTTGTAAGGTTAATTGTAACTAAAATTTTGGTAAAAATTAAACGATCGAATTAGTTGACATGAAAAATTTAAACCAAAGGTAGGTCTATAGTTAATTTCAGCTGTACCATCAGTTAAATACAACCACATAAATCAGCTGAATTCAACCAGAGAAACTAACTGTTATAAACCAGTTGGAATTTTATAGTTTAAATTTAACTGTTTGCTATAATAGATTTCAACTGATTAACTGGTCAAAACTTAACCGGTTCAGTCGGTCAATGTACCTACAGATCATTAATCAGTTACACCCACCGGATTATTAGTTGGACACATATTGAACGGTTGAATAGGTTGGTTTCAACCATTTTTAGTTATTTTTAACCTAAGTGATTTTAGAGTGTGTTTATGATTTTAAAACTTTCATTGTTTACATCTTACTTCTAATTCTTATATCATGTACAGGTAGTAAAAATGTGATGAGGCATTCATATTATTACATAAGAAACGCTCAACTTACACACGCCAGCGTCAGTCAAGTTATTAACAGTAGATGTCAAAATGGAACCCTTTTCTTCCAGTTTTGTAATTAAAGACAGCTGATGCTGAAGAGCAAGTTCCATGATTTTCATCTGCGCTTCCTGTCGATTATTTTGTTGAACCTGTCCATCGAGAACTGTTTGAAAACTGGTCAAATTCTCGGACAAGAATGTCAGCTCTTTTTCGATTGTTTGTGAAATGATTCGTTGCTTGATTGTTCCATTCTGCAATTCAGATATGGCCGTCTCCAGATCTTTCAAAATGTCTGTTAGATTTACCGTCTTTTGATTGACATCATCGAGCTCTTCTTGCTGCTTTTGGGTCTGAAGATTGATGGTTTGCCAGTGCTGGGTCAGGTTCTGTCTCAGGTACTCGTCGGTGGTCTTAAGGTCATTTATTTTGTCCTTGACGGTCATCAGAAGCTGCTTGTTTTCGACAGCAGTGGACTGCAGCTGGAGCAGGTAGTTCTGGACTTGGAGAAGGAGATGAGCATTGTTGGAAGCGGTCGGAAGAAATTGTGCATGGCAAACATTGGTACCAGAACTGATCAAGAGAAATGCCATCAAACTCGTCGTCAAACATATGGCTTCCATTATGCAGTATACAGTTTAATTTGCTATACCTGTATGCGTGGCGGACAAAGCTTACTATACCGCATGTGAATTTGCTACATGTATGGCGCATGTCTTGATGTCTTTTTATTGCTGCTGCTATCATTATACATATGTTTACGTTGTGCAGATAAAATTTTCAATTAAAAGTTTGGTGTTTGGAGTCAAAATTATCTAAGTTTCCCGATAAACAGCTATGCAGATGACAAGAGGCAGGGTGGTGCGAAAACGGCTAGGCACTGATAGGTTAAGTACAGGACAAACAGGAATGGTGAAATGTGCCTATCAATGGATGAAAAGATATTACATTCAGTATCTCATCATGGTTAGTATCATCAATATGATATACCAGTATTTGCTGGGTATATCATCAAACTGAGATATAAAATAAAATTTATTTTTATGGCACATGCTACTGTTACCATAGACGGTTCATTTGATGTCCCATGGCTCTATGTCAACTCATTGGAATACTATCAAGACCGCATTTATGAACTATGATAACGTACCATTAGGAAACGGTCTGTGTATCTTCAAGTTGCAGCAATGACGGAAAGGTGTCTTCTTTGTAAGAAAAATACCGTTGTGTTGTTTTTCTAAAGACATCGGGGTTAAAATGTTCAATATTTACCAACAAGCTCACGATAGAGTGCATAATATCTTGTGTGCATGTGAAAGTGTATGTGAAAGTGTGTGTGTGTGTGTGTGTGAGAGAGAGAGAGAGAGAGAGTTTTAGTGAGCATATAGAGAATGAGAGGGGAGCGGTAATTCTATTTTCAAAACTTCCTTTTGGCGAGAATAAAACAAACAAATCAATGAAATAATGACAAATAACCAAATATTTGAATGGCAATGGTTTTAATGATAAATATAAAAACTACATTTTTTATAAATGATGATTGACCTTTAAAACTAATACGCTATGTCTTTGTTTATCTGCATTCTCTTATCTCCAGAGATGGTGAAAAGGGCTACTCTTTAACACCTTTTTCCAGGCGCAGATTTCATAAAATCGCCAAAGATTACTATGAATATCTAATGAAAATCGATCTGTGGCCTTGATAGAGTGTAGAAACTTCCACTGGTTTTCTAACCTTTGAATGCTTCTTTTATACGTGTACATGTCCTGTTTTAGTTGTTCCTATTAGTAGCCTACATCACCTGCACTACAGGCTATCTACAACTTGTATAACGTCTATAGTCTCATAGGGCTCATTAGTCACAAATGAAAAATAAAAGCAATTTGGTGTTGTTTGTCGTTACTATTACTTATTTGACTGGGGTAAAATCAACCGAGATAGACTGCTTTTTAAACCTAGCACTGTTTAAGCCACGACAAAAAAACTTGCAAAACTGTTCAGACAGCTCTGTCAACAACTCGTATTATAAACTTGAGGCCACTCACATTACAATTCGTAACTTAAAATAAGAATTAAAAATCTTCTTAAACAATTATAAACAACATCAAGTTCACAATCTCCTATTTTCAGCTACAGTATAAATATGAGTTGCAGCTTAAGCTACAAGTGTATAGAGTGTATCTCACAAACAAAAGGATGCTTAGCGTCGCATTGAAGATCGCTCCAAACACCGGTTTCCCATGTGTTTAAACAGTCCTCCCCTGTTTGATAGTTATTAGGTTGGCCTGGCCTCCAGTTAGTGTATGTGAATGACTTCCCATTCCACCATTTCCACTGACCTTCGGTGGCCTTATCGTGCCCACCCAGCCACGTACGACCTGCAAAGAAAATTGACACAAATCAAATAGTTTTAGCAGATATCTCTAACATGGTTTGTTGATGCCTGATACTATTTGTTCATCTATTAGAAAACTGTGAATAATCTATGTTTCGTTGTTTCAAACACAGCTTAAAAATGCATACTTGGTCCCGTGGTGTACTTCTTGATGAGACCCAGTATAAATTTATTTTCGCTCTGGCTCTCCACAGTGGCAAGGTGGGCCTCGGGATGTAGCAACTGACAGTAGATCTCTGCTTCAGCCCACGTTGCAGCCACATTGACCAGCCGATATAATGACGTCCCATACCTGGTAAATCCAACTGAAAAGAAAAAAAAAAACAAATTAATTAGATGAATAAATCTACTATGTATTAAGTTGTTTTTTTCAAATTGCGCCTGAGTAAAAGAGAAACATCAAAATAGATGAATGAATTACACAATTGATGATTTAGAAAAAAGCCATTGTTTACTCAGAATGTATTGTTCTTTGTTTATCAAGAGCGCGTTTGCCACGTATATGGTTTTAGGGTTGTTTGGTAGACGTGGTACACTTGATTTGTCACTATGACATTGCAGAACATTTGAAATCTCGACATACAATTTTATAAATTGTATGATTATCATCTGTTATCAGCTGATGCTTATGTCATGGAAAGAAATAAAAGAAGAATGTGAAGAGACATTCATATTATAAGATAAGAAACGCTCAACTAACACGCGAACTAATTTTTATGCCATGAACACGCAGAGAAAAATAGGATGAGACAGTCATATTATAAAACAAGAAACGTTGAACTTACACACGCCCGCGTCTGTCAAGTTATTAACAGTAGACGTCAAAGTGGAACCCTTTTCTTCCAGTTTTGTAATCAAAGACAGCTGATGTTGAAGAGCAATTTCCATGATTTTCATCTGCGCTTCCTGTCGATTCGTTTGTTGAACTTGTCCTTCGAGGACTGTTTGAAAACTGGTCAAATTTTTGGACATAAAGGTCAACTCTTTTTCGATAGTTTGTGTAATGATTCGTTGCTTAATTGTTCCATTCTGCAATTCAGATATGGCCGTCTCCAGATCATTCAAAAATGTCTGTTAGATTTACCGTCTTTTGATTGACATCATCCAGCTTTTCTTGCTGCTTTTGGGACTGAAGACTGATGGTTTGTCCTTGCCGTGTCAGGTTTTGTCTCAGGTACTCGTCGGTCGTCCTAAGGCCATTTATTTTGTCCTTAACGGTCACCAGAAGCTGTTTGTGGTCGGCAGCAGTGGACTGCAGCTGGAGGAGGTAGTTCTGAACTTGGAGAAGGAGATGGACGTGGTCCGATGCTGTTAAAGGCTGCTGAGGATTGCTGGAACCGGATGGAGGCAATTGTGCCTGGCAGCCAATGGAACAAACCACGATCAAGAGGCATACCATCAAACACATCGCAGAACGCATGGTTTCCATTTGATATGATTAGTTTTCTATATACACGTGTGTCCGACTATTTCGGCAGCGTATGTCTGGGTGCCTTTTTATTAATGCTGCTGTCATTATATACTAACTTGCCAACACATTTCGATGAAATATTAAATTAAAAGTTCGTCAGACAGAGTTATCTTTCTTGAATGTTGTGAAGTTTTCTTATAAACAAACGGAGGGAGACAGTCAGGGTTTGAACAGTGTATGGTGCTAGGTACATTTAAGAACATACAGGAATACACGTCTCAAATGTGCCAACCAAACAGTGAGAAAAAAATCTCATTTTGTTTTTCATTATAATCAAGAGTGTCAACATAATATATTCGCTTGGTGTATCAACACACTAAGATATAAATTGAAAACTTAATTGCACATGCTACTGTTACCATACGTGGTTCATTTTGTATCCAATGCTCTGATGTTAACTGATTGGAATGTTATTAAAAATCTTATTTATGATTTGTGATAATGCTCCATAATAAAAAGGATTTATGTAGCAACTTGTAGCAACAATGTCGGAAAGTTGATTTTGTGAAAGAAAAACACTTGTGTTGTTCTTCTAATGAAACCCGGGTCAAAATGTTCATAATTTTCCAACTAGCTCAAAGAGATGATAAATGGGGATGTCAAAGTGTGTGTGTGTGTGTGTGTGTGTGAGAGAGAGAGAGAGAGAGAAAGAGAGAGAGGATTTAACTTACGATATCCTGATTAAAATGTTGATGTCAAACTGATCGTTGATCATTAGAAAACAAACAAGTGAAGGAATTGATGATAAATAAAAACTAGTAAATGAGTTTATTAAAATGGTTTCAATTAATACTACTACGTGATTATAGATGGTTAATGAATTAAAAACCTTTGCATTATAGAATAGTATTTATTTATATATTTATTAACGTGACATGTGATATAGAAATACAAATCACCCGGCCTCATTGGCCTACAAGCCTCCGAAATGTGTGCATATATCAGAAACAAAACAAAACAGAAAACTATAAGATTGAATTTATAACTCATCAAATACTATCATTTATGGTACACTCAACTCTTGAGCCGTGAATAGCACTGACTGCCTTAAACTAAAACTGTTCTTTAAATAAAATGCCATGTCTTTAGGTATATTTACAATTAAGTCTATTAGTATTTTAGATAAATCTTCCCTGTCAACATAATTACAGTTCAAGTCTCCCAGAATCGTACATCCTATGTCCTCGTATAGAGGACATACCACAGGAAATGAAGCTCATCCTCAACCATGTTCTTATCACACAATTTCAAAGGTGGGACGAAGCCTCTTTCCCCTCGTAGCTGCCAGTCTCTAGTCTCAGCAGTGGTATTCCACATTTAAATTGGCAGAGTACTGATCCTAATGTCTTATTCATAGTCAGACAACCTAACATATGACTAACAGCTGTAGTTGTTTTTGAACATTGTATCTTGATTCAGGTAATTCCGCAAATTACACGTTCTAGAAGTAGCAAAATAAAGCACCAAATTGCCGACCTCCCGATATTTAAGTTTTAAATTCAGTAAAAAAAATTCACGTCTTTTTATTATCTAAAAAAAAAACATTACTGTCAGCTCTTGACATAGAAGACCTGCCATTTGATAGCTTTTGCCCGACTAAGAACATAGTCAGAGACTTTCATCGCACTGATGTTAGTAGATGCTATCAATTCTGAGCGGGCCGCCCCCCTCCTCCTCCACCATTTGTTTTCATGGGTGGCTTGTGGCGATTTGCTATGGTAGGGATTTTTCAGCTTGTGTACAGTAGTTTAGCTGTGTGTTGAAACTATCAAACTTATGAACAGTTTACGCTGTTACTGGATGTTTAGTAGGATATTAACGACTAAGACTCGCGCTAAAAACTGCTAGGACCTACACGGGATCGAGTTTAACTCGCAAACGAATAGGGGAAATATTTGTTTATTCGTTCACTCAAAGAGCGTGGAGGAGTCATTACAGAAATCAATACAAAAAAGCACAAATTTCAGACGAGCTTCTAAGGAGTTCGCATTTAATTAAATTGAAACTTTCTTTTTAAATATGCAATGTAATAATGTTGTGAATTTGTTTTTATTATAATCTCTCATTTATTTTCTACCTTTCTTATTTTAATATTATTTTTGTGATGTACATAGTGCCGGAATCAAATTTTGATTCTTATTCAAATGAGAGGTCGCCTGTTGTTCATTTGCTTTATATATCACTTAATCTTTATATCAACTCCCAAGTTCCATACAAAATTAAAAACGTCTTCACCCAGTTTTAAGAGAAGGTAGAACATCTGTGAATGCTAAAAACAACTAATACATTAAGTATTAAGAGGGGCACTGTATAAATCATTCCAAAACTGTACGTTTAGGAGTAGTTAGAACATCTATGAATGAAAAAAGGAAATACATTAAGTATTGAAACGAACACTTTTTTAATCATTTCAGAAAACACCCAAACTGTACTCGAAGTTATCAGCAGTATATCAGACTTGGGGCTACAGGGACTTACATTACAAGTCATTCGTAACTCAAAATGAAAATACTTTTTTAGCGATTGAGAAACAATGTCAAAGTCACTACCCCGTTGCCATTTATCACTGCTGCCACATATTTACCGCAATGTGTAGGCTACTATGCAGAATCGATCTCACATATAAAAGGTCGCTTATAGTTGCAAGGGGAATCATTCCATTTGCCGTCTGTCAGTATGTCTACACAGTCCTCTCCGGTTTTATGGTCGTCTGGTTGTCCAGCTCCCCAGTTTGTGTATGTGAAGAGTTTTTTATTCCACCATCTCCACTGGCCCTCGGTCACCGCATCACTTCCTCCAAACCATGTGACTTCTACAAATATACACAAAGAAAAAAGAAGTATCAAACTGTACCTTTTTCTGAGAGTTATCACTTGATAATAATATGAATGAGACTAAGCCTTATTCCCTTACTACTGCATTTTCTCTTTGTTTGTTTGTTTGTTTCTTTTCTTTTTTTTTTTTTATTTTTGAAAATTGACGACTAACAAAAGATAAGCGTAAACGAAACAGTGAAATACCACGACGACACGTGAAATACCATGACAACGTACGCGTGGTAAGAGACTGGGTTAATTGACGAAGGTACATTGTCGAGCGGCAGCATTAATGAAATTGTCAGCCGCTTAACAGATGGCGCTCTAGCCAAACCATTATTTAAAAAAATATTTTGTTTGATATGCGATGTCGCAATAAAAAAATGTAAGATTAAAACACCCGTAAAAAAATGTATGTCTGTGTAGCATTGCAAATGGCTCTATAGTCGCCTATACATGTACCCAGTATAATGCACTGACTGTATGCATCACTTATATGTATATGAACAATGGAAAAGGTTTTGAGTGTTCTTGTGTAAAAAATGGTTAAATAAATCGTAAAAAAGGTTACATTTTCATATAAGAACATTCTTATCAAACCTTAGGCCAACTGAATTAAGGGTGAGATATCTTTCCTCCGTCAGAAATTGCTTATATAAGATCAAAATAGCATATTATGGCCAGCAATTTAAATTCATCATCAAGAATAAAACTATCTATGATGCTGCAAACATCACTTCAAATTGGTGAGACCCAGTATAAATATATTTTCGTCATCGCTGTCCACAGTGTCATCCTCTGACAAGTTTCGTTGACGCCTGATACTATTTATTCATCTATTAAAACTGTGAATAATCGATTTTAATTAAAATGCAGTTGCATTAATGCTCAGCTTAACAACGCCTACTTTTTTCTTTCTTGATGAGACCCAGTATAAATTTATTTTCGTTCTCGCTCTCCACAGTGGCAAGGTGGGCCTCGGGATGTAGCAACTGACAGTTGACTTCTGCTTCAGCCCACGTTGCGGCCACGTTGACCAGCCGATATAATGACGTCCCATATCTGGTAAATCCAACTGAAAAGAAAAAACCAAATTAATTTGTGAATAAATCTACTATGTATTAAGTTGTTGTTTTTTTTTTTTCAAATTGGGCGTGAGTAAAAGAGAAACATCAAATTAGATGAATAAGTAAATAATTTTTTTTGTTTATCGTGTGCATGTTTGCCATTTAGGCCTAAATGCTTTTAATGCTGTTTGGTCGACATGGTACACTTGGTATATCACGATGACACTGCACAACACTTGAAATCCCGACATATAATTTCATAACTTGTATAATTAACATCTGTCATCTGATGCTTATGTCATGGAAAGAAATAGTGAAGAATATGAAGAGGCATTCATATTATAAGGTAAGAAACGCTCAACTAACACGCAAACTAATTTTTATGCCATGAACACGCAGAGAAGAATAGGACGAGGCAGTCAAATTATAAAACAAGAAACGTTGACTTACACACGCCCGCGTCTGTCAAGTTATTAACAGTAGATGTCAAAGTGGCACCCTTTTCTTCCAGTTTTGTAATCAGAGACAGTTGATGCTGAAGAGCAAGTTCCATGATTTTCATCTGCGCTTCCTGTCGATTATTTTGTTGAACCTGTCCTTCGAGAACTGTTTGAAAACTGGTCAAATTGTTGGACAAAAAGGACAACTCTTTTTCGATTGTTTTTGTAATTATTCGTTGCTTGATTGTTCCATTCTGCAATTCAGATATGGCCGTCTCCAGATCTTTCAAAATTTCTGTTATGTTTACAGTTTTCTGATCGACAACATCGAGCTTTTCTTGCTGCTTTTTGGACTGAAGATTGATGGTTTGCCCTTGTTGGGTCAGGTTTTGTCTCAGGTACTCGTCGGTGGCCTTAAGGTCGTTTATTTTGTCCTTGACGGTCATCAGAAGCTGTTTGTGGTCGACAGCAGTGGACTGCAGTTGGAGGAGGTAGTTTTGGACTTGGAGAAGGAGATGGACATGGTCAGTTGTTGCAGGCTGCTGCGTGGCAACCGCTGTTGGTGAGCTGGTCACGAGAATGGCCGTAGCCGGACCTTTGTTGATGCAGGAAAAGATCATGATACATGATGTTAAAAATCTGCGAGTGCGTGCCAGCTCCATCTTTTCTTTTTCGTGTGCTTCTCTACGAACAGAAACATAAAACCGCACAGCTTTCAAGTAGTTGATTTAATTAGCAGAATCCGTTAAAAGCCGTTAATAAGCCTGTTTTACTTTTAATGCCTATGTATGACGAATAAAAGTTACTGTTATGCGTTTTGTTTGGCACAAAGTACCTATTTTAAGATACTTTTACATCGTGAAAATTTGACCCTTTCCGAAATGATTATGATTAATTATTAAGTTTTGGGCACGAACGGCCTGAGGTCGAATAAAACCGCCGTTGTTGTTTCTTGGGGTGAATAAAAGAATTGGAGATGAATACAAAAGAATAAACCTGGATGCAACTTCATTGTTATATACAGTATACTTCTATTTTACTTCCACGCAAATCACCAAAAAGGCGAATTAATGAGTAATGTTCTCTGTGGTGTTATTTTTAAACGTTTCTTTTCTATACACGTCCCAACTTCATTAGACCTGATGGAAGGTTTGGGTGTACTGTATGCATCAACAAAAACATGTCCATTAATTACATGTTAAATCAGCCAAATGTGGAAAGTCTGTTTAAAGAGTGTGTACTTAAAAATGTGCACTCCTTTCCAAATAGCAAAAAGAAGAGTCCACTTTTAAAGCGGTGGTAGTAGACAGAAATTCGTCTTACAAGCGGTCGCAAACCCAGGGGCTTTAGACCTCTTTGGGATCATTCATACGTACAGAGATCCCAAATGGATTGTACCTCAGGTGTGATAACCCCAGGTTACATTCTAATGTTCAAACCTTTTAAAATACATTTCCGTCACCTTCCGAGTGTTGTCTGGCATGTCATGTAAAAATATGAAATCCTGAGAGACAAGAGATTTCATAACTTTCATATGACATGCTAGACAACACAATGAAACGATGGGGATAGCCATGCAATCGAGTTTGTAGTTACGTCAGTTGTACGGTCACAGATTAATGCTAGGCTGGTCATGGGAAAAGCCTTGTTGTGCAGAGCACAAATAAATGTAGGCGTTTTAAATGATGCAACATGCAGGTCTTCTTTTTTTTCTGTCTGTTCGTGTAGTAACGGTGGGAATACAAGCAACAATGTTTTCACTTTATCAATCACAGTTGAAAGATGCTTGTCTTGTACAGTTTTTTTTTTTCAAATGAGGAAATTGTGCGAATCTTGACTCTTGATACAATTATCAGCTACTTTTTCATAGTACAAGTTCAGTATAAAATTTACCACCACTTAACATCTTCTCCAGTATGCTTTGACCCATCTGTATATAATACGATTCAGAAATGCCGAAAAATACGTTGAATTGCTAACATTTGACTCTAGATATCTCACGATATTTTAAAACATAGGCTACGTGGATTTTAAATTCAGCAAAAGGTTACTTTTTGCGTTTTTTTTTTTAATTTTCCCTATTTTCCCAGAAAACAGATAAACCGCATTTCTTCAGAGAGGAGCCAGGAAAACATTTCAGCAAAATTTGACCTCACTAGTTTTCACCTATAAACTTACAATTCAGTAATCTATTTCAGTNAGTTGCCATAGCAACCATAATGCTCAGCCTACACGCCATGTCTCTCCAATTTATCTTCCTGGAATAAAAGATGTTTCCGGAGTTTCAAGGGATTAGCAACGTGGTCAAGCCTTGCAGTTAGTTCCGTGAACTCTTGAAGTTAGTGTGTGTGTGTGTGTGTGTGTGCGCGCGCGCGCCTGCGCGCGCGTGCGTGTGATTGATTGCGTATATTTATACTTTTAATAAAATCGAGTTTTAAATACGTTCAAAAAGAAATTAATGAATAATACGTGACGTAATGAATGAATAAAATAATACATTAATGTAAGAATAATGGCGTGAAGGAAGGCAGAGACACGCAAATAGGGAACAAATTGAAAACCAATTGATGAATTCATGAATGAGACACATTTAGAGCTCGACGATTTGCAATTAGATTGTTGAATATAGGCTGCAGCTTGGTGTCACCTTTTAACATTAGTTTGTGATCTACCTCTTATGAGATATTATTGTGGAATATTGACATTGAAATGATAATCGTTTTTTTAGGTTTGTGAAGGCAGTGTGTAAACATTTTGCCTGGTGCAAATTCGTCTTTACGTAATAATTTGATGCAGAAATATTTGATCAATGCTACGTTTTTTAAGCTTTTAAGTGATAGCACCCAAATTGCCGTTTTTTTTCTGCAGAACGCTACTTGGGGGGGGGTGGGGGGGGGGAGGGGTTGAGTTGAATTTCCACGACAACCAGCCACATCAAACATACATGTATGGCCTAGCTAAACTGATAAGTTGGTTGACGAGTGGTGACTCTGTAAACAGGATCATAAGTCTGAATGTAATATTATATTTATTATTTGTTTTTTTATAATATGAGAAGAACGCAGCAAGTACATTTTTAAGTCGTTCGGCGTTTTTTAAGGCGTTTTATATATTTTTCAAGGGGGGGGGGGCGTGCAAATCCATAGTGTAGTTTAGTATTGAACTTGAAACAAGTTTTCCTGATGTAAATTGTACATTTTCCCCACTTACCAAACCAATACTCAATGCACTATTCTATTTAAAAGCATATGTGCGGGAAAAAAATGGATTTCCTCAAAATTAGGGGCGGTCGCTCTCGTTAACCAACTGATGATTTTTGTGTGGCCTAATGGGATATTTTCCTGATAACTAGGGCAAAAATGTACGTCCAATGTCTTTTTGATGCATGTTTCCTAGAAGAAAATATCATTAGGTCTACTGCAAATTAAAGGAAACTTGTGTAATGGTTTATACAACATTTTTAAAAGTCTAACAATGCAAATTATAACACTGTGCCGCAATGGAACATTACCAGAGGATATTTACGGACATAAAACATACGAATCCAAATGTATTATTAAAACATAAATTAATCAACGATAAATGATAAAGATATTGTGTAACCTTGGTTAAACAAACGCGCACATAGAACTATGACTCAACGTTGTCATTTTATTTTATTCGATTAAATCTGTATAATGAAAAAAAAAAAAAAAAAAAAAAAAAAAACAGTGAGCCGCAAGACCCTATGAGTCAAATGTTTGGTAAGACCAACAAAAGTTTGCTTTAAGCTTACATAAACCAACCTTAGTTTCACCTTGCCAGTAATTTGTCTATGTCAGACCTCTTAACAGGTTTTCTCCTTTGATCAAGACGGAGAGGCGCCGTTTACACGTGAGTTAACATTTCAGGAAAATGACTTGCCAAGAAATATGTGGCCGTTTTTCGGACAGAGTAAAGCGAGAAGACTTACGTTGATACAAACCGATAATTGCCTCTTTAAGTTGCGTTCTTTATCAACAGAAAAAAGCGTTTCGGAAGAATCGCATCATTTGAAAGTGAAGAACCATTGATTTCAAAGTGAAAATTCGATAATCAACAGAAAAATGGATCAAGAAAGCATATTTTCATGTGTGCATCTTACTACAGGCAAAGTAAAACGCCAGTCTGTTCTTAGTTATTGTCCAACAAAGTTTCTACCCATTCACACCAAAGAAACTGCGCAACGGAAAATACATTGATTTGTATGGCACGACGCCAGCAGCTTTTATGCATTGCCTTTTGGGGAGAAATTTTCCTCTTTCTGCTCCAGACACCATAGACTTCGTAGCGAGTGCTCAGAGAGAAAAAAAGCAATCCTTATCGTATTCCATGACAATAAAAAGACTGATGCATTTTTGATGCATTTTGCATTAAAAAATCAGCGATGTAGTTATAAACCTAACTCAAGTCGTCCATTCCCCGACAAGCTTTCAAACATTTAAGTGAAAAATTGACGCATTTAGGAGTTTCCGCGTCAGTGACAAAGACAGCATGAAAAAATTTGCAATTCACGCCTGTTAAATAACGAAATAATTCTTGTAAAAGGGCTGTTTCTTCTTTCACGCCTGTCACAAATCAATTTTGTAGAACTGACGCTATTCCTTGACACTGCAATTCCAATACTTGTAACTGATACCGTGGATATGCTCGTATTTTTTTTTCTATAATTGGCAACAGCAAGGTGCAAAATCTTTATCGGGGATATAAAGGTAATATGGTCTTAGGTAACGGACAACCCGCACATTTTTCAAGACTCACTCTTAATTGCTGCTTTGAAATTGTTGACTTCATGATGAGCAAGAGAACCCGTTGTTTTGGAAACCGCACAGGGGCTATCCGTCAGTTGTGCGCTGTAAGAATTGATTATACCACTTGAAGCAAACAGTATTTCATAACTTGCTGTTATCAAAGTATAAAATCCCATGATTGGAAGTACACTTCGGGTATCTCCGGAAGGGGCTATCAAATTAATTTATATGCATTTTCTATAAAATTACCCATGGGAGATAATAATTAATTTTAGTCTTATATTTCAGTTGCGTTTAAATTACAGGAATACCCCTCGACTTTTGATAACTTATGTTGTTTAAGGGACTTTAGGGCTTAACACGGTTTCGTATTTGAGACACACAGAAAAGCAAGAACTGTGTGAACTTGCTATAAACTTTAATTCTTAAAAAATGTTTGTTGTTTTCCACCTCGTGACCTTAGGCGGGAATAAAATCGTGCGAACTGAATAAATAAATACCCAAACAAAATTGTCCTTACTGACCGAAGACTGTCGTGTAAACATGTACGACTTCCCTTTCTTTTAATCTCACCCAAAAATTATCGTTCTGACACACTGTTGACCATGAACTGCCAAGAAGATCGTTTCAGAAATGGAAGTACGACTATCTAGGGTATGTGAGGTACATGTACCAGGTTCCCTATGTCAGGGACATCACTTGAAAGGGATACCGCGGTGAGGGTTTCTATTGCACTTTTAACAAGTGTAATTTCTATGTGGAGTCGTGCATGTTGTTTCTTCAATTATAAGATTGCCGAAACTTGCTTATATTTTAATTTTTGAGACGGCTTTAAAAAGTGTAATTTCTATGTGGTGACGTGGTTTCTTTAATTATAAAATTCCCGAAACTTACTTATATATTTTTATTTTTGAGACGATTTTATGGTGCTGCCATTAAATATATTCATGAGATGTTTGAAGGGGGTGGGGGGTATCTGTACTTGACACAGGCGGCGCTTTTTTTAAAGAAAGGTCTCTGCGTTTAAATGCATCATTTGTCTCATATTTGGCATTATGATTTACTCGTTATGACATAGTTTGACGTGTTTTCTGCTGTTCTTATCAGGGCGATCGTCGCACATGGTACACGTGCCCCTGGTCACATTCCTCAACATTTTGTCATAATGCACTAAGAGTGGTGTGTGTTCTGGTGACAACACTTCCCATTCTTTTACAACAGTATTTGCACTGCTAGTTATCAATTTACCTAGATCTGACAGCGTCTGACCTGTATTTGAAAAAAAAAAACTTTGGTGGATGTGGATTGCGTTATGTATGTCTACTGCGTTCAAGATTTATGACAACAATTGCCTAAAATTGGCTAACAGATAAAATAAAAAGTGAGAAAGCTGACAAATGTGGCTTCCATGTAATGTTTGCTACTTCCTTAAATCTATCAGACAGACTTTTCAGTAACCCTGGCATTTATTCCCAAAGTCTGCTGTCACTCAATGCTAAGATGAATGGGCAACAGAGCCCAAAAGCATTGTTACTTGTGACAATTTTTCTACCAAATCACCCGCACTTTGACATCTCATCAAGTGACCTTATTCGGAATATTTCCCAAGGCCATGTCCTTTCCGCGCCGTGATATAAATTTCGCCACTCATAATCTTTACATTAGCTTCTACTCATCCGTCCTAAGAACCAATAACAGCCTACCAAACAGTATTAGTTTTCTGTTTTTTCCGTTCCGGCTCATTTACACCGTCAGCAACGACGCCAGCAGAACTGAAACAGGAGTTTCACGGGGTCAGGGAGACAACGCTGTTTTAGTCATTTTGAACAAATTGCTCATCCTGAAGGCCGACCGTCCACGATGCACGTAAACAGCATCATTATCGCAGTATTCGTAGCAGTGTTATTTGCTTTAGATGGTAGGTGCTTTATCTTAAGTTCTTCTGCTTTTTTGTGAATTTCCCACTTAATATTGACCATGGTCACTTTAAAGCACGCAGTAGTGCACTGGATGGTAAGGGGGCGCACTAGATTATCTATTTATCTATTACGTTTTGTCTTTATTTATCTATTTATTTATTCATTTACCAAAATGTTATATCAATTTACTACAAACACGCTGTATGTTTTATCTTTAAAATGCATATAAAAGGCAATGGAGATTTCTTACTTTTTTTAAACAACGTAAGGTCTGTGTTTCACCAGCTTTAGATGACTTAAACATGCCACATTTGCATGTTTATACTCAAATGTTAAACACTGTTACCAACATACTAAATAGCGAATAGAGATTTTTTGTGATGGTATACCAAGAATTATCTTTTCTTAGCATAATTATTGGTATTGTGAAGCTGATCTTCTACACAGAGATAAAAGAATTAAATTCGTATAGCTGAACGATCTGCACAAGGTGACATTGAAAGATAAGGATATGTGAAAAAAGGGGAAGCTGTATATGATATTAAAGTTAGATATATCTTCAGTGATAAAGGCTGTGTATGGCTGATTATTCTTCACGATTCGTAGAAGATTTGGTTTAGATTTAATTCGTCATAGTACTAATTAACGTAATAAAAATTCGTTTTCTGTACAAGAGCGGTGAAATGTCTGCAAACGGCGACAAATTTAAGACAATGTGATCATTTAGCAGGTACAGTAGCACCTTTATTAAATTGAGTGTCCGGTCTTGTGACCAAAACGCTTAATGTCGATTCAAAATTCTTTGGTGAATATGAAAAGGTGAGATTTTACCACTTAAAAACTGAATGCAAACTTAAGTCGTCATATGTGCTCTTGAAATAAATTAAAGCAAATAAGAAACGAGCCAGATGACCGTTTCGCATGCTATCACGCCATTAAGATATACACCTTAACACTGTGTGTCTTGGTACCATTAGCGATGATCTAGTTACGGCACTGATACATTGCCTGTGTTTTAATTGTAAGGTCGTACAACATATTTTCATGGTACTAAGTAGGCGTATTAACACGTAAACCATATCATCACGATCATTCGACAATTTCTTCTTCCTCTTTTTTAAAGTCATGTTTTTCTATGTCCACTTTTTAACAGAAATTCAGTGTCATCATGATTGGATGAACAAGTGGCAGGTCATAGGCCTACTACGATTAAAAGAAAAAAATAAAAAACTCATCATCTGTTGTTTATCCAAAAGTATTTTATTTATCTTAGTAATTCTTAAGCTTAATTGCCTCATTAGTTACCGTTCTGTCTGGCCACATTTTTATGAAAGAAATGTAATACATTTTTGTTCTCCTGACTCTGACTTACCAGTTATGTCAGAGAAAAATGTACGGGCAGCTTATGATTTATGGTAGTAAGTTTATCATGCATTTGTTTCTCTTTTTTTAGGAAACATGATGATCAAATCATTACAGCAAATAATATCAATTTATATTTTATTACAAAATAAGTTAAAAGAAACATTAAAAGAAAATTACATAACTTGTCGTTGGTTGTTCACTTGATAATATATTATATTTTGGTACCAAATACATATGATGAAATAGAAATCAAATGTTGACTTCACTTAACACAGACTTTGAATGACGTAAACACTCTAGTCGTTGTAATAACGATTATTAAATTTTTAAAGATAGGCTAAGCATTCGGTATCAGAAAATACACAATTGAAACAGATCTTAACTGGCTTTTCAAGGTATCTAAATTAATTAATGTTAACTTTTCCTTTATTACTCGAGCATTGTACAAAGGCACCTTTACTTAGTCAAAGTTTGAGTTACAAGAATCATAAATGCCATAGTAACTACTCTCAGAACCTGTACATTTAACCAAAATAAAGATTTAATTCAGGCTTATGTACCGCAGAGAACTTTCTGTGTCTACAACCGTGATTCGGTATATTTATTTATTTATTTATTGAGGAGAAAATTCTCCAATTTCTCACATAATGTATACCACATAACACAGTGTGTCTTTTTTCCCAACAGCATATGCAGCCAGTTATCCTCCCAACGCCGCCGGTGGAGGAAAAGCAGGTAGCGGAAAGACCCTCCTCATCAAATCTGGCCCATCGAAGAGCGGTGCAGGTACGATATGGTATTACACTAATACTGCATTTGAGACATATTCATCAAAATAACTATAAATGCCTAATAGCAAGATTTGTCTAGCGCCTAGTTGCGCATCCCGTATTTGCACTCGTGATTTAGTACCCGTGGCATGAAATTTGTTTCCCAAAACAAACAAACGAACAAAAAAAAAAAAAAAAAAAAAACATTTTTTCGTCTTATTTGCCTCTCGTTACCTGTATTGCGTGGTTAAGACGGCCATGCTATACGTTGTACTTGTAGTCATACATGGTAAACGTTTACTTTAATTTTTCATCTGTATTTACTGGCTATGGAACTAAATTGCAGCTTGGATGATCGTGAATAACAATATGTGTTTTTCGTTTTTCTGTCACAGTATAGTTTTTACTAACACTTTGGATGAGTATTGATCTTTTTAAAACGTAAAAAAAAACATTTTTGGGCAATATATTTACTATTTCCAAACTTATTTTATACCATTTTGCTTATACTTACAATTATAAGGGATGCAATTTAAAAATCCGGATAGCTTTCCTGTGGCATTATAAATATATTTTCTATAACGAAAATCCAATATAGACTAATGCACTAAGTTTAAGTGTAAATAAATGCATCACGGAAGCGACATGGAGCGGAGTAAAAAATGATCACCATCTTTAAAAAATGGTGATCATTGAAACAAGCGATTAATTAATGAATAAACGATTAATCAGTGGTTTCATTCATTCATTCGTAATCTGGATTATACGTGTATATGAAATATTTTAATTCCTTAACAATATCAACTTAATTTTGCCTTTGTTTATCAATGTCATTATTTATACGCTTTTCTTGCGTGCGTTTTGTTATGAACAGTGGATAACTTGTACGCCATGGTAGAGATTAGATAACCACAAAGATTAAAAGAAAAAAAATGTGACAAAAGCTGAGCATTGTTTCGACTCACAGTTGTCATGTATCATCATAATTCTTAACTGTCTCTCAAGGCTGATTTATAATCACCATAATAAACAATGCATGGGATAGGAAGTACACGTTTTTTATTCACATATATTCACATATATATACATATATATATCAATGTTTTTTTTTTAAATTCTAATAAAAGTTAATCGCGCTATCGCATTCTCAAGTTAATTTTCCAAATGATACATGTACCATTATCTTTTCTCCATGTTTGAACTAACAATGATGTAAATTTTTTAACAAAAACGTGATTTTATCAGTTTCCTATTTAGTCGATCTTCTTTTACAAAGATACTTAGTCGTTTGTAGTGTTCTATTCTGATTAATGTTATCACTTATATAACGTTTGATGAATGCATAGTGAGGATTCATGTTGATTCACCGTATAGATCTTGATAAAAATAGAAGTATACCCGAAGAAAAAAGGCCCAGGGACCGAAAGCTCGGATTGTATTTAACAACAATAATGTAGATCTTTCAAGGTGCATCAATATATATACTTCTATGCATGCATAGTAGTCTATGAAATGTTTTCAAATCTTACTTATCAATAACATTTGTACATTAGCGGCTGGAGCTAAGCCTGCAGCAGCAAAACCAGCAGCGCCAGCGCCACCTGCCGTCAAACCGGCTCCCGCAAAACCAGCGGCACCAGCACCAAAGGGTATGTCAATAACATAGTCCACCACGAAGCTTGGGTATACAAATAATTCCCAATATATATCGGGTCTGCGACCTGTGGCTGCCAACACCATGCTTTCATTCACATTCAGAAATGCATAATGCAAACAAATTGCATAATGGCCAATGTAAAAAAGGCCAATGCGTACTTTGGGTTTAGGCTTTATGAGACCTAGGCAAGCGATTCGACATGTGGTCTTACCTACAGGTGTCATGACAAGCCATGGAGTGATTTAGCGATAAATGAACAGAGAATGAAATATTTGAAAGTAATACATGTAAATGCAGCTGTAATAAGCGCTACGCCGAAATCTCCGCTCATTGACCATATCAGTACCTTGTTTCAGATGATGCTATTTCGGATCCAATTTTTCATTTTGAGTAAAAATCAAATATTGTCAATTTTATTTAAGCGCTCATCAAAATTACTTTCATATCAGCGTTCTTGCTTTTTAACAAGTGTTTCATAACTGCGTGGTATGACGAGTCTGCATGAATGCTAAACAAATGCCATTTAAAAAAAATGGTGCAAATGTATTATTTCCTCATATTAATAAAATCATGACTGTACTGCGGTACGCTATATGCGTGACTCTGATACTTTTGATTGACGATCCGAAAATGATTTTTAGCAGTGCCAAAGCTTGCCTTTTCTTAGGATTAAAAAATAGATTTTATGTATATAAACTGAAATAAGTTTTTAGTCTCTCATAGTTCTTTATAGAACTGCCTTGTTGTAATGACTGTTTCAACTTTTACTGTTTTTATTTTTTACCTTTACGGGTGAGACTTTAATAAAATAAACTGAAACTGTCAATGATTCAAGCACCAGGAGGAGCATAAATTGTTTCCGATTCACTCTCTTTTATCTTTGTTAGTCCCTCTTCCATTGTAGCTCGAGGACCAGAGGCTGCCAAGCCTGCGGTTCCAGTGGCACCGGCACCGCCAAAACCTGGTACATAAATGTTCATGTAGGCAAACATATTTTATACTCAAGCGCATGGTAATGCGGATTCAAATGCAGTCAAATTGCTCTAAATTCACGACAGACAGCACCTTGTGGTCAACTGTTTCCGCTACACGATGTGATANATTTCATTTTTGCGAGTGTGAAATACTGGGAGTGTTATAAGCTCCAAATGTCCCAAAGTACCAGTAATTACTTTTGAGTCCGCTAACTTTTGAAAATTTGGCACATTTAGTGTGGTTAACGGCCTTCAATGTTTATTAATTTGCACTTCTTTAAGCAAAATCTATAAACAGAAATTACACTCGCTAAAATGGAAAATGCTTAAAACAATGTCGAGAGACACCTTATAGACCTTGCCTTAATGAACTGATGAAATATTGTAACGAATAGGGTATTTTGCAAAGCCCTTGTAAATCTCACAGTGTTTATAATTTATGAAATAAACATTGGTATTCTGTCGGAAGAACTGTACATGTAGTTTATTATGATTAATGAAAGTACATAACATTTGTCTTATTCCATGTGTATGTGAGACCACCGTCTTTCCAAAGGCGTGTTGCACGAACAACTAATCTCTCGCGAAAGAGACTTAGGATAAAAATCGAGCGCAACACAAGCGCGAGACGAACGCAATCAACTTGTAATCACAACTAAAGCATTTCTTCTGTCACAGATTTCCGAGTTTTTTTTTAGATATAATTATTACCTTAGAGTCAGGTGACCCGTATTTGGAGAAGCAGAGAGGGGCGCCCTGTTGTATCTGATCTTCCTTACTCAAAGAATTTTTAGGTTTTTTAGTGTCTTTCTTTGCAAAAAGTTGTGTTCACATTTTTATCACTTTCAGCCCCACCAGCACAGGGATCTGGCGGTTACGAAGTAGAGTACAATTATACAGATAGTGCCTCTGGTATGTATTGGTCTTTTCGTACAAAGTTATCTATCGTTGAGTGTTCTGTACTAGCACAGAAAATCATTAAAAATCATTAAAAAGTTAAGTCTTTGAAACATCAGCGGAAGTCAAATTTATTTTTACTCATATATTGCCATGTCTAACAAGCTACACACATTCTCCAGGGAGTGACACGATATGTATGTGTTACTGTTCCTTTTAAATGCCTTAAATTAATGTTCATAAGTATTGAGATACTTATCTTAGAATCGAAAACTAGAACACAAAGGTCTTGTGGTTTGCATGATATAATTGAAATTTTATTTTAATCGTGTGATTTTTCTTTCCCTTCTTTACAATAGCATTTAGGCCCATCACAATGCTTTTCTATAGATTGAAAGCAGTGTAAATGCCTTCCAAAATCCATCATATAATACTTGCAATATTTGTGCAGACGTCAATAAATATTTCATTAATTACTATGCAAAAAAAATGCACTTTTTATCAAATGCACTTTCCTATATTCAATCACTGCTATTTCACTGTGCAATACATGTAGATACATGGATTCATCGATGTTTATGGTTTGTTTTTTTATTTTCTTCCCTAGTGTTCCGCTGTTTCTCTTGCTCTAGTGGATGGAAGAACTGTTCTGGTGAGACGGCTCTGCCATACCCAGAGATTGTGGCTCTGGTGCCTTGCCCTCAGACACACTCTTGTTTCGTGAGGCAAGATATTAACGGAGGTATTTCTACCGGCAATTATGCTTCCTTTATGATTAAGGATATTGTATAATATGGTATAATTATGGTCTTCGCACATAAGTGAAGATGCATGTATCGCGCGATTGAATATTTCTTTTAAACTTTGCTCTAAGTTTATCATCGGCAGACCCAGATTGCAAATGTTGTTCTATGAAAAGCTTAACAATAATCATTGGGCCTCAGGGATAATGAAGTCTTGCTACAGCTATTACACCCTTCAGTGATCTTTGAGAATTTTCAAATTTATTCATGCTGTTAAACTTCCAATTCCATCTTTCCAGAATACCACCGAGGATGCGCAGACGGGTTCTTTTCCAATATCGATATATTGGGGCGAAAGATGGAGTACTTGGAAGGGTGCATATGGGGAGAGCAAGTGGCTAACTACGGCTCATTTGTCAAAGCTTGGTGCTTCTGCAACACAGGTGGTTGCAACATCGAAAGCTTCGCTTCTCTTGGTGGCGATTCCATAGAAAGATCACCATTGGCGTAGTGGTTTGAAGTAGGACCTGTTGTGCGCGGATGGTCTCACTGTGAATGGCGGTATTGTCAGTTGCATTGTGGGATATATGAAGTGCCGATGACAATGAAGCTGTGCTCAGCAGCTGTGCTGCATAATAGGTGGAAATTCAACCTATCAGGGCACGCTTATAGATATTAAAACTGTATAATGTAATAAGATAATCACAGAGGCACATGTACTAGTAAGCATTCATTTGGGTTTGCCTCGCGATATGCATCTATCTACCTGTTTGTGAATTAATTTATCTTGATTATACTTGTGTTGAAATGATTATTAGACTTTAAAAGAATTATTAGCTACAGTATAACAGTAATTTTGGCAGAGATTATTTCACTGATTCAACGTGAACGTTCAAGTAATTTCATCAAAGGGAAGTTAAACTGTTATACCGCGTTAACAGAAACGCAAGTACACGGTTAACATGACCCATTTTCTTTTGAAGTAATATTTAGATCCTTCATAATGGTTTCCTTTATAATTGAAAAAGATACAAATCCATGTTGAACAATTCAATTGCAGCAAACAGTTATATCTTTTCGTCTTGCTCAGTGAATATATTTGTGAGTGTTACCATAATAAACATAAGTCAAAACCAAGAAAGTGGAACAGTTTATTGTTTAGTTTTATTTTTCATTTTAAAGAAAACATTGAATGAAAATGCAAATGAAGGACGCAAACTCTTAATATATGTGTCTTATGGCAGATGAATAAGCATTGTGTAAATGTTTAAGTAGATAATGATGATCCAGTAACTACAGAATCCATAAACAAAAAGTATACATTGATTTCAACAATTAAAAATGGCACAAAGATGCTGACTACCCGGTACTTTTACAAGCCTCTGTCACGAATGTGGCTTCTGGATAGAGGAATGTACACAAGGCTATAATTTGAAAAGGTCTCACAGGGAGCAGATACGTTGGTATTTTTCCGTATCAGAACATATATTACGGAAAGAAAAAATTAGATTAATCGTCTTATTGTTGTACCAAAAAGGCATCAGACTCATTTGTTAACTCGAGTGGATGACATAACAGCAGCTTTTTCGTAGTGAAAATTGTTACATCGACTTCAAGTAGATCTCCCTCGCCTATAAACACCTTAAGTAACATGGCGGTGAGTAGAATCTAGAAAAGCTGGTGATTTAACGAGTAGTTTGGAATCAAAAAGCGGTGTGTTAATGTGATTGCATTCAGCGAGAGTCCACACGAGGGTATAGCTATCTGCGTGGAACAATAGATGCACTAAGAATGAGCCTTTACATAATATAACATACATGTGCATGTATATAGGTATCTCTCTTTGATTAATACTTTAAAAAGGTACATATGAACCGAGCATCGATGGAGCGTGGATTCCCAGTAACACATACAAACCACTCCTACTCGTTTCTTATACAACTCAAATAAGGTCGACATGCCAAGGGATAAACTGAATAAATCATTCGATCAGCCATATATCAGCTTTAGACTGCTCCTTTCTTAAAATTCCTGCCCCATGTATATACAGCATAAAAAGCTAGTAGAAAAATCCGTTTAAATATCATTTTCAGGTAATATTAAACAATATCTTCTGGTAATTCTCTTACTTATACTATAACTATTTACTATATGTTTCTAAAATTGACTTCAAATACATCTTTGAACATCAAACGAATTAATATTTGCCGCGTTTCGTTAGTATAGCGGAAAATTATTGTATTCACGGTTTGTGATGAAAAAGAAGGTACGTGGAGATGTTTGGGTGGATGACGTAATGTTTGGGTGGATGACGTAATGAGGTACAGTTATTGAGTAGTAGTTCAGTGCACGATCAATGAAGATTGGCGTGGTTGGTATAAAAGGGAGGATACAAGTAATAGTGGTCACTTTCTAGCCTGCTTGCGGAATAGTGGGACCGCTTTTCCCAAAAATCATGGACGCCGACTTTCGAGAAGAGATAAGAACCGAAATTAAAGAGGCGATAACAAAGTCTCAGAATGTAATGATGTCCGAAATCAAAGATGTCATTTCTGCTGAAATGGGACAAATAATGACACAAAATGAGTTGGCAGAAAAACATTTGTTGAGGGTAGAGGAGTCTTTTTTAGTTGGAGAGACTCAAAAGTTCAAAAAGAAAGGGAATGAAGAACAATTTAAGTTCAATGGTGCTCTTATGTTCAAGATTGGTGAAGCTTCCAACACCATTAGCAACGAAAAATTGACACAATTGGTGATGGTGATAGTTGTAGAGAAAAGTTGGCTGAAGTCATGGAGTAGGTAAAACACAGACAAAAGCTCATAAAATTAGCCGATTCTACAGAGGCTGGCTGTCGAGCGGTCAGCGCATACGTTTCTAATCCTCTCGCAGAAGATTCTGATGATGAGAAAAGAATTCTACAAGCCCAAAGCAAAGCGGAAAGGAAGATCAAAGCCGAGAAGAACAAACGGAGGAAGAATGTCCGTTTTCGACCTTATAATTCTACCAGCCAAAGGGGCAGTCAACCAAGCACTTTAAGTGGATTTTACAATCCTAGTAATAGTAAGCCGGGGAGATATTATGGTTGTGGAGAAAGAGGGCACTAGAAGAAAGAGTGTCCAGAGAACGCCAATGCGGAGAATAAGATAAGTATATTTTCATTTGAAAATAATCATGTAAATTTGCGTCATGAGTAGCGAAATGCTTAAATTATAACAGTGATGAAAATGTTTTGAAATTAAATTCGGAGAATACGCCAGGAGGCTGTTTAAGAATTCATTTGACGAAATATGACAGTGATGAAAATATATTGAAGTTAGATTCGGAGAAAACGCCAGTTGGTAGTTTAGGAAGTCATTTGACAGTTTGGTCAGAAATAAATGCAAGTGAATACATATTGGGGGTCATTCAGAAAGGTTATAAACTACCGTTTAAAACGGAGCCAGGATATATAAATGGAAAGAAAGCGTCGAAGTAACCAAATAGAAAGTAGATAATAAATAATATGAAAGTAACAGCAAAAAGATAAAGACAACTTCGTCACAAGTCTACACGGAGATCTTTTACAAATATAAGCCACTATTTGTAAACCCAAATTTAGTTTTAAAAGCATTATGTTACGCCTTTTTCTCCTTAACATAATTTAGTAACACGTTTGTCAAATTAATTTGATAATTTAGATAACTCGTATATTCGAAAAAAGTCCACACAACTTTTATCTAACTCTAATAGAAATGATAAATTTTAATTAGTTTGATATTATAAAATTTGAAAAATGTGAGGCTTAGTTTTTTAACATTAAAATTTCGAACAACGTTTTTGAAATTCACTAATTTAACTTTTCAGTACAATTGCTGGAATAATGACAGTAACCACGATACTTACGATTGTGCTTGCATCATATTTCAAACACTCGACGACAAATCATCTTTAATACATTCTTTGAAGTCAATTTTTTTTATATCTGTTATGGTGAGGAGTAACGCCAACGATCTGGAGCTTTCGAACGTTTATTCATTGACTCTCTTTTTCACACAATTTCACAAGTATTTATACTCTATTTTCCAAAGAATTTTTCACTCTCATGTTGCAAAACGCCATTGAATATTTCCTTTTAAGGTAATTTCATAGAGAATTGTTTTCAATTCAAAATATTAAAAATAACATTCGAATTACTCATGCTTGGACCTTGTCCACCTCGAGTTTGCATGCGATTTACACGTGTTAGAAACGTGCAAATGTATTAAACAATTAACCAGTCAAATCAAACTATATGTGACTTTAAAATATCCATCTTTTCTTACTACGAGAATAATTTCTACACTTGTTGACTCTTAAAGAAATGTTATTGCACTCAATAACTTCCAATCCATTTGATTCTGTTTTAATTGTTAATTGTTATTATTGAAAGTGTAAGTCATTTTCTTTAAAACATAACATCTTATCTCTGGATCTTAAAGTATCTCTGATTCCCGTTTATCTCAATCCTTCTACTTTTCCACACTCAGCCTCTGCCATTGTCCCTGCAGAGTCTTTACATTTCTTGCCATAATAGCTGCATATGAACGATTTCTAGCAGGAAACAAACCATCTAGGTTATACGCAGTGGGTGTCGGGTTGAAGAAAGTTTCGGTCTCGCAGCGTTCAAACACCCTTCGACTGAGCATTCGCAGACTCAAACTGTCGGATACGTTGATTGGCGATGTTTAAATCAGCCTTCAATTTAGCATCCTCAGTCTCCAACTGTCGGATACGTTCATTAGCGGCGGTGACCTCAGACCACAGTGACGTCAGTTGACCTTTCACTTCGTCACCATTGAGGCGGGGTTTCTCTAATTCAACCTGAAGTTGACGTATTTTCCTCATCCTATCGTTCAGTTCCAGACTTTGATTATGGTTGGCAGCAAGAAGGGTGTCTCCTTCAAGGCTTAGCCGACTCCCCGAGTCAACGATTGAAGACGCACCTCTCTCAAGAAGTTGAATCCTCCCTTTCAGTTCGGATATTTGTGCGTCGCGCTTTTGTATCTCTGTACCATGATTTTCCTGTTCCTGTCGTAGCTGTAAGACTTCCTTTGACAATTGATTGCACTTCGTGACAAGTTCACTGACCTCAGAGACAGTATGTGCCATGATTGTCCAATAAATCTGAATAGGATGTCCAATCACGCAGGGAAATTTAGATGGCGTCTTACCTACACTAGTATGTCGCTAAAAATTTCCCAAAGTGCCCGGATTAAATTATACGAACATAAAAGAAAGCAAACACCATTCAGGGGAATCCCCCCTATGCGAAACCTCCATCCTACTATTGTTATGGATAACACTAAGGCTTGTCGCAATGCTGAAGCCACTATCACAATGACGTGAACTGTGTACATGTAATATGAATAAATTGTTGTTTAAACCATTTTATATAAACTGAAAACATTAAATATATTTGTAACGCTGGATAGTTAACATACAGTTTGTGTTCGCTTTCTACAGTGTTTTGTCTGGATATATTATGTAAAAAAAATGCTAATTCAGCACAGCAATCAAACGCCTTTCGAGCCATCTATCGCCCGCAATACCTTTTTCGGTTGTTTGTTTTATGTGGTTACACTTTAATCAATTAATTGCAGGTAAATAAATATAAATCAATAAGTCAGGGAAAGTCAAATGAGTAAAAGCCCAGCAGGTTATTAACGCTAATCATACCAGCATATTTTACAACATATTACTACAGGGTTAACGACAAAGGACATGGTTAAGTCACATATTAATTCTCCGTTCGAGATTAGTATTTCGGTGCCAACCTTTAAAGGTGTTAAACACAAAACAGTCAGAAGTTTGGGGTAAATTCATTATGAAATTATCCAATACTTTGTTTCTGATTAAGCAGCAAGAAGGGCAGTTTTTTACTTTTTTCTGACTCAAGCCCCCTTTCATCGGTTAACCAAGAAAAAGCCCCTTTCTTGAGAAGTTAAATCGTCCCTTTTAGCTCGGATTTTTTATCTACAACAGGAGAAATAAACCAAAATTTGACGAAATCAGTTGACCTTCCAAATCAATTTGACTTAGCTAGAGTTAATCAGTAAAATGGTTTAGTATTATTTCCTTCATTTTTTTTCAACATATGTTTTGCAGCCTTTGTCATGCCTGTTTCCACCGGTACTCTTGCTGCACGGTGGCCACCTGCTTCTTCCACAGGATAAATATATCCTAAATTAAATAAGTATGTGATTTAACATGAGGTTAAAGTAGTACCGGTAGGCGTAAAAACATCCATGTATTATTTTTATAGTGGTTGTCTCTCAAACCACATATTCTGATATTCTTGTATTAAATCAAGTGGGTCGAATTCGCTGAAAAATTGCTACACGCTCCAGCTTTTGACAAGAGATATCTGAGGTGAATACACGGACAACTCACCACAGTAGAGTTTTGTGTTAGGTAGGATTTCCGCCTGTGCCAGTGTTCTGGTGTCAATTGGCCACTATAAATTTTCACATTCATGGCTATTAGGAATGAGAATAAGGCTTTCCACATAGAGATACCCTACACATCTAGGGCGCTTCTTGTTAGCCCATTTATAGTTTCAGATTAAGTCTGTAGCCTTAACAGTTTTTTCCACTTATTGATTGCTTATATGACAGAAAACCAGATACATTTTACTGTGATAACGAGAAAATTAAATGTAATACTGGATCTTACAAGTAGGTAGATTGCAAAATTCAGCCTTGATCCCCCCCTTTCGATTTCTGAATAAAATTCACATCAATGTTCTCCTTTTAACATTAGAATTCTGACAAGCTGAATCATAGTTCTAAACCGTACCAAATGGCACCGTTCGCACTCTAAAATACCAAAGTTTTCGGGGGCCCCACGCCAAAGGGGCGAGGGTCGGCTTCACATCCGCAGACCTCCCTCCTCCAAATAATCATGAATCCGCCCCTGCTAGTGTCTTTTTCTTACGTTTCTTAAAGGGATAATAACTCTTTGTATGATATCTATATTTCACAAAAAAAAAAAAACATTGTGAACAACTCATAGAAATATAATATATTCTGTTTTACCACACAAACTGCAGTTATAGCTATTATTCTGATATCTGAGCTTGTCTTCAGATCACGTGACCTCCATTGATGGCTGTACTCTGTTATAATCTCTTAAGAGATTTTAACAAAAAACCAAACTTTTTAGAAAAAAACCAGGGACTAACTTTGAATGTAAAAATGGATTCATTAACCATTGGTAAGTATGGAAAAATTGTTGTTTACTCCAGGAAAATTCATTTTTTGGCCAAAACGAAGAGTTATTATCCCTTTAATGTTCATAGTGATATTTGGTGCATACACTATACTANATTTTATTTTTGCGAGTGTGAAATACTGGGAGTGTTATAAGCTCCAAATGTCCCAAAGTACCAGTAATTACTTTTGAGTCCGCTAACTTTTGAAAATTTGGCACATTTAGTGTGGTTAACGGCCTTCAATGTTTATTAATTTGCACTTCTTTCAGCAAAATCTATAAACAGAAATTACACTCGCTAAAATGGAAAATGCTTAAAACAATGTCGAGAGACACCTTATAGACCTTGCCTTAATGAACTGATGAAATATTGTAACGAATAGGGTATTTTGCAAAGCCCTTGTAAATCTCACAGTGTTTATAATTTATGAAATAAACATTGGTATTCTGTCGGAAGAACTGTACATGTAGTTTATTATGATTAATGAAAGTACATAACATTTGTCTTATTCCATGTGTATGTGAGACCACCGTCTTTCCAAAGGCGTGTTGCACGAACAACTAATCTCTCGCGAAAGAGACTTAGGATAAAAATCGAGCGCAACACAAGCGCGAGACGAACGCAATCAACTTGTAATCATAACTAAAGCATTTCTTCTGTCACAGATTTCCGAGTTTTTTTTTTAGATATAATTATTACCTTAGAGTCAGGTGACCCGTATTTGGAGAAGCAGAGAGGGGCGCCCTGTTGTATCTGATCTTCCTTACTCAAAGAATTTTTAGGTTTTTTAGTGTCTTTCTTTGCAAAAAGTTGTGTTCACATTTTTATCACTTTCAGCCCCACCAGCACAGGGATCTGGCGGTTACGAAGTAGAGTACAATTATACAGATAGTGCCTCTGGTATGTATTGGTCTTTTCGTACAAAGTTATCTATCGTTGAGTGTTCTGTACTAGCACAGAAAATCATTAAAAATCATTAAAAAGTTTAGTCTTTGAAACATCAGCGGAAGTCAAATTTATTTTTACTCATATATTGCCATGTCTAACAAGCTACACACATTCTCCAGGGAGTGACACGATATGTATGTGTTACTGTTCCTTTTAAATGCCTTAAATTAATGTTCATAAGTATTGAGATACTTATCTTAGAATCGAAAACTAGAACACAAAGGTCTTGTGGTAAGCATGATATAATTGAAATTTTATTTTAATCGTGTGATTTTTCTTTCCTTTCTTTACAATAGTATTTAGACCCATCACAATGTTTTTCTATAGATTGGAAGCAGTGTAAATGCCTTCCAAAATCCATCATATAATACTTGCAATATTTGTGCAGACGTCAATAAATATTTCATTAATTACTATGCAAAAAATGCACTTTTTATCAAATGCACTTTCCTATATTTAATCACTGCTATTTCACTGTGCAATACATGTAGATACTTGGATTCATCAATGTTCATGGATTGTTTTTTATTTTCTTCCCTAGTGTTCCGCTGTTTCTCTTGCTCTAGTGGATGGAAGAACTGTTCTGGTGAGACGGCTCTGCCATACCCAGAGATTGTGGCTCTGGTGCCTTGCCCTCAGACACACTCTTGTTTCGTGAGGCAGGATATTAACGGAGGTATTTCTACTGGCAATAATGCTTCCTTTATGATTAAGGATATTGTATAATATGATATAATTATTATAAAGTCTTCGCACATAAGTGAAGATGCATGTATCGCGCGATTGAATATTTCTTTTAAACTTTGCTTTAAGTTTATCATCGGCAGATCCAGATTGCAAATGCTGTTCTATGAAAAGCTTAACAATAATCATTCGGCCTCAGGGATAATGAAATCTTGCTGCAGCTGTTAAACCCTTCAATGATCTTTAAGAATTTTCAACTTTATTCATGCTGTTAAACCATATTTCCATCTTTCCAGAATACCACCGAGGATGCGCAGACGGGTTCTTTTCCAATATCGATATATTGGGGCGAAAGATGGAGTACTTGGAAGGGTGCATATGGGGAGAGCAAGTGGCTAACTACGGTTCGTTTGTCAAAGCCTGGTGCTTCTGCAACACAGGTGGTTGCAACATCGAAAGCTTCGCTTCTCTTGGTGGCGATTCCATAGAGAGATCACCATTGGCGTAGTGGTTTGAAGTAGGACCTGTTGCGCGCGGATGGTCTCACTGTGAATGGCGGTTTTGTCAGTTGCATTGTGGGATATATGAAGTGCCGATGACAATGAAGCTGTGCTCACCAGCTGTGCTGTATAATAGGACGAAATTCAACCTATCAGGGCACGCTTATAGATATTAAAACTGTATGATGTAATAAGATAATCACAGAGGCACATGTACTAGTAAGCATTCATTTGGATTTGCCTTTCGATATGCCTCTATCTACCTGTTTGTGAATTAATTTATCTTGATTATACTTGTGTTGAAATGATATTTAGACTTTAGAATAATTGTTAGCTATGGCAGTAATTTTGGCAGTGAAGATCATTACACTGATTCAACGTGAATGTTTAAGTAATTTCAACGGAGGGAAGTTGAACTGTTATACTTTGTAAATGTAACATGACCCCCTTTCTTTTTAAATAACATTTAGGTCCTTAATAATTGTTTCTTCTATAGTTGAAAAGTAATACAAATTCCTGTTGAACATTTCAATTACACCAAACAGAAGTTCTAATTTTTCGCCTTGCTCAATGAATATATTTCTGAGAATTACCATATTAAACATTAGTCAAAACCAAGAAAGCGGAACAGCTTATTGTTTAGTTTTATTTGCTCACTTTAAACGAGAAAACATTGAATGAAAATGCATATGAAGGACACAAACTCGTAATATATGCCTCTGATGGCAGTGAAATAAGCATTGTGTAAATATATAAATACATGATGGAGATCCAGCAACTACAGATTCCATGAACAAAAAGTATACAGTATAATTTCAACAGTTAAAAAGGGCACAACGATGCTGATTACTTTTACACCCCCCTGTCAAACACGTGGTTTCTGGACATAATGTTCATCAGGCTATAATCTGAAAAAGTTACATGCATAGTCTGCATGGTGTATGGAAAAATCCTAACGTATCAGGGGGCAAATACGTAAGGATTTTCCGTATCCACACATATAATGCGGACAAAAGCATTCATATTAATCGTCATGTTGTGAGATAATGCTGCAGCACCAAAAATGCATCTGGCGATATAGTAAACTCGAGCTGATGATGTAAAAGCAGTGTTTTGGGGGTGAAAACTCTAATGTCGCTTTCAAATAGATCTCCCCAACCTAAACATCAATCAACGTTGCCTCCTCTTGGCGTTGAGTAGAATAATGTTAAGCTGCTGATCATAAGAGTGCGTTGGAAACAGGATACGGCGTGTTAATCGGTTGGCATTCAGCGAGAGTCCCTGCGGAGTTTTATCGATCTACATAGTTGCACTGGGAATGAACCTTTACAAAATATAACGTATGTATACAGGTATCTGACGTTTGTAAATTAAATTAAATTGCAATATAATATAATATAATATAATATAATATAATATAATATAATATAATATAATATAAAACACTATAATACTTTAAAAAAATCAACAGAATATGTAATTTCTTACTGTTTAAACATGCTCACGTTGGTCGACTTCAGATACCTTATATAACATTGAAACAAGAGACGTGGAGTTGGAGATCATCGAATCTTGAGATTACTAACTACAGTGGATCATTGCGTTAGGTGAGATCCAGTCTCTCCCAGAGTTCCGTATGCACAAAACATCTTAAGTGTATTTTTTAAAGAATTTCCCTAAGAATTTCCTAAAGTGATCATCCTCAACATAAGTGGTATGCACAAAGCACCTTAAGATGAGAATTTCCACAAATATCTCCTTAACTTAAAGGTACCTCATTGGGTTTCTTAAGTGGAAATTTTGTCCTTAGATTCAGTGACTGCATGTACAACACAGTGGCATTCATTTGTGCTAACTAGTCAAAGCTGTGCAGCAACATTATTTCTCTATGGCTCTTATAATTGCTGTTTATCGTGAAGAAGTGGATGAACTGGAAAGGGCAAGAATATTTCGGGACCGCGAAAATCCTTTGGATTTTTACCCAGATCATGAGATTTACCAGCGATTTCGTTTTGATAGAGCGGGGATACTTTTCATTACGGATCTCCTGGCAGAGGATATTGAACCACCCACTAACAGAAGCCACGCAATTCCTGCCTTACTACAGGTTTTCATTACCCTAAGGTTCTAGGCCTGTGGGAGCTTTCAGCGAGTTGTTGCAGATACAATTAGGCCTAGACTACATCAGAGTACTGCTTGTCGAATCTTTCACAGGGTTACAAATGCTCTCCTAAGACATATCAACGAATTTGTAAGATTTCCACCGAACAATGAGCTTGCAGCTGTCAGAAATACATTCTATGAGATAGCCCATTTCCCAAACGTTACAGGAGCAGTTGACGGAACACATGTGAAAACCATCTCACCACATCAGTATGAGGCGGATTATGTCAACCGGAAGAATTTCCATTCCAAAAATGTACAAGTGATAAGTAATGCCAGGAGGAGATTTACAAACATAGTGGCAAGATGGCCAGGGAGTACTCATGATTCTCGTATACTTCGTGAGAGTGAAGTTGGTTATGAAATCTTCGAAAACCACCTGATAACACGGAATCTCACGCATCAATGCTTATACAATTAACATAGGTACATGTATTTAATATGTGCATACGTGGGTCAATAGTGAAATTAATAATTAAAATCAATATTAATATTATGAATTACATGCCACAATTTTTCATCACAGATAACACTTAAAATATGTAAGTCGATGACATGTAAATGGCCATAGTCATGAAATAAGTATATGCTGGGCTGATTTCTTTTTTAGGGCCCATGAAAAAATGTTACTTTATCATCCCCCTCTCTTCTCCTTTCTCCTCACAACTCCAACTGTGCCCTTTTATCTTATCTGTCATGTTTAAAGCACATACAACACAGTGTATAAGTTTAATACACACCAATGTGCTTGCTCATATCCAGGTAAAGGATTCCTTCAAACATGGATTCCCAGCAATTCCCCAGTGTGAGCTATTGTAACAGGTAATTCTATTGGTCAATGCACAGGCTAAACATAATAAACACATAAGAGAAATCCTACAGAGTTGAGGAAATTCCTATTATTTGAGAAGATTCTTGGCTTAGGAAATTCTTAAGGTACTTTGTGCATACCACTTAAGGGGTTTCCTCAGCTAAGAATTTTCGTATGAAGTTAAGGATAATTTTTTACTTAAGAGAAGGATTTTTTGTGCAAACGGGGCCTGGTGTCTTAAACACTGAAAATATAAGCCGATATCATTATAATATTAATGCTTACATCCATATACATGTAAACAGAGCATGAAATTTTATAGACAACAGCGTACTTTGATCTAGTTCAGCACCTTGCATTGCCGTGATGATTGGATTGTCTTGACTTTAATTGCTGTACAAGGCAGAATGCACAAGATCTTTAAGTTCTTTTTGTGTTAGTTCTTCACTACTTTCTTGATGGTTCCATTCTCTCTATTTTTCTCTATTTCAACTATTTCAATCACCTACTCTACAGAACACTCCCCACTCGTTTCTCACTTCATAACTATCAATTGTTAACATTACATTATTATTTTTTTCCCCAACACTTATATCATCATATCCTTGTACATGTGTTGATTTTGCTGAGTCGAATTTTATTATAGATTACCGTGTGTCAGTTTATTAAGTGGAGCGTATTAGTGTATTAGGTGGGATCCCAACCTCCTCAAGTGTTCTGGTGTCGTCCATACCCTGTAAGTATAAATTCCTATTATAAAGAAATGAGAATGAGAATAGCTACACGGATATCCCTTACAAATATAAGACTACTTGTGAACCCAAGTTTCGGCTTTCTCTCCTTGACAACTTATTTGTCAACTTAATTTTATAATGTAAATTACTCACATATTCAAAAATAGTCCACAGTAGAAGTGGACAACTTTGGCTTACTCGGTTTTTGGATTTCTGGGCACCTTATAGCTTACTATAGAGTGTGTCAACAATGAAGACCACATTTCTTTTGTTTTATTGGGCAACTGCGACTTACAATAGAGTGTGTCAACAGTGAAGCTTACCCGATTTCTTAGATTTTTTGACTTCCTTATAGCTTACAATACAAATGTATCGGTAAATTGTGTCAACAATAAAGTAACTGTATTAGAAAATTCTTAGAGTTCAAGCTTACATATTGGACAACTACGACTTACAATAGAGTGTGTCAACAGTGAAGCTTACTCGATTTCTGGCTATCTTATAGCTTATAATACATGTAGATTGTGTCAACAATGAAGACAGCATTTTCTTTGTTTTTTGTTCTTTTTATTGGGGGGGGGGGGGGGATGGCTACAATGGCTTACTCGATATTTGGATTTCTGGGTACTTTATAACTTACAATAGCTTTTGATTGGGCAAAGAGCGGGCAGCTGATTTAACAATAATGAATGGCGATATTTGTTTACTGACAAAAAGCTTTATTTACAGAACGGTTTACAATTGTTGTGATTCAGGCGCGTACATGTATTACAACACAATCACATCTATATATCAGAATATACTCTACGCATTTAAAATGTGGGTTATATTTTATAAAAAGCAATATTACGAGGGTGGAAGGAAAATTAATCAACTTGTACAGAATCTGATAACAGATTGTAAATTATTTTTTTCTCAACTGGTATCTTGATTGGAATAGCATACCGGCGACGAAAAGAAAACCTCGGGCATAGATCTCTGTTTTGATAGAAGTGTATTATAGACCATTCTCGATACGGTTATCATTGTAAATAATAGCGTCAAGGGATTTGTACATTTCCGATCCACTATCCCCCGTCTCTGCGGTCGACTCGTTGTTAGTTTCACCGCTTTCCAACTCGCTGTCCTCTGACTCTGTGTTTGACATTTCGGTTTGCTCCGGGAGGAGGGAGGAGGAGGTAATGAGGAAAACGTAGGGAGGAGGTGGGGAGGAAGAGGAGGAGGTAAGGAGGAGTTGGGAGGGTGTAAATAAATTCTTATTTAATATATAAATAGCTTACTCCTCACCCTCACTTCTCATTCTTTGAAAAGATGCTGAAGTGTCCAGAGTGTAATCAATAAATAAAAAAAAGAAATATGCAAATGGAGAATTTAAAAGATATGAAGTAATTTTTTAACATCAAAATGCTAATAGAGTTGAACATGCCACCACTATTTCATTTAAGAATGCGCAAGTGGGACAAAAAAAATTAAATCAAACTAAAGTAAATTGACGCTTTAGGACTTGGACGAATTTGTTTAATTCGTCCACGTTTTACCACAAGTATTCAAACTTCGTTTTATTCGTCCTACTTTAGGAATAAGGATGCAATTCAAAGCGATGCGTAGGTCCATGGATTGCGTCAGACGGCTAGTTACACAGGTAAGACTGTATCCGGGTGTATTGATCTTAAATATCGTGAGTGACAGTGATTAATTGGAAAAATCAACACATGCACGCTTCTAAAGAAGTGCTGATAAGCGTTAAATATCTACGACAACGAATATTACTCTGTCGGTCCCGACTAATCTTTAACCACCAAAGAAGAAAACTTTAAATGAGCAGTTTATATTACAGCTGCTGGATATTTAGAGTCGAATGGGGATCTCTATTCACCCTCACCATTTTATTCAAACATCGCCATTTTTATCTTAAATAAACATTGATTGCTTCTTGATCATGACTAACATTGCTCATTTAAATACAGCTGTCGGGAAGAGGTTATAAAAGTACCTAATCAGTAAACAAACATCGCCATTCATTAGTGTTAAATCACCAGTATGCTAGCTGTCTGTTCTTTTTCCAACCAAAGGCTATTGTAATTCATAAGGTACTCAGAAATTTAAATATCGAGTAAGCTATAGTAGTTTTCTTTGTTGACACATTCTATTGTAAGTCTTAGTTGCCCAATATGTAAGCTTTAACTCTAAGAATTTTTGATACAGTTACTTCATTGTTAACACAAACTATTGTAAGCTATACGGTACGTGTGGTAATCAGCAAACAAAGAACAGCTAAACATTGTAAGATATTGATTGACAACATCCTAATAAAACATGTAAAGAAATTCAACTATCTTGGCAGCATGATAACTGAAGATGGCAAATGTGACCAAGAAATTAGAAGACGTATTGGAATGGCAAAAGCTGCATTTGAAAAACTGGGCAGCATAATGAAGAACAACAAAATTTCTATGACGACAAAGATCAGAATGTTGAATTGTTATGTCTTTTCCATTCTCACTTATGGAAGCGAATGCTGGACTACATCCCAAGGTATAGAACAACGAATAGAAGCGGCAGAGATGTGGTTTCTTAGGAAAATGATGAGAGTATCTTGGACAGAGAGAATGACAAATCAGGAAGTGTTGGAGAGAGCAGGAACAAAGCGTTTCCTTCTAAAAGCATACGAAAGAGACAGTTGGAATTTTTAGGACACGTAATGCGGAAGGAAGAGCTGGAACATCTTAGTGTGGCAGCCAAGATCAATGGAAAGCGAAGCAGGGACAGGCAAAGATTAACATACACAGCAAGCATAAGTAGATGGACAGGAATAGCAGAGCTAGACCTGTTGAAGACCGCAAAGGACAGGAAGAGGTGGAAGTCCATGATCGCCAACGTCCTAATGGGACAAGGTACTTGAGAGAGAGAAAAGGTACTAAGATATTCAAAAATTGAGTAAGCCAAAGCTGCCCATTTCTACCGTCCACACAACTATTATCTAACTCTATTAGCAATAATACATTGTGATTAGTTTGATATCATATAATTTGAATACATGTGAGGCTTAGTTTTTTAAACATTAAATTTTTGAACAAAGCTTTTCAAATACACTAATTTAACTTTTCAATATAAGATGCGAGCAATAGGATACTTACGACCATTCTACCATCATATGTTAACCAAAAGAAAACGATTTTGTGATACATTCTTTGAAGTAGATATTTTATATCTGCGATGTTCATCTCTGGATCATAAGGTATTTTATATCCCCGTCTCTCTGCTATCACATACAAGACATCGTTACTTTCCCCACGTTTCCTAGCCTCTGTCCCTTGCTCTGCCACCTGCTCTCTCGTCTCACTGCGGGCACGACCTGCAGTATCAGTATAACATGTGGCTTCATTTTCTTCTGCTTGTTCGGCATAAGGGAGAGGCTCTAAAGTAAATATCGTAGATGTCAGGGAGACAGAATTCTGTTTAGCGGCGTTCAAGTCAGCTTTTAACTGATTATTTTCAGTCTCCAACTGTTGGATACGTTCATTAGCAGCGGTGACCTCGGACCTCAGTGACTTCAGGTGACCTTGAACCTCGTCACCATTGAGACGGGTTTCCTTTAATTCATCCTCTAGTTGGCGTATTTTCGTCATCCTGTCGTTTAGTTCAAGACTCTGATTCTGGTTAGCAGCAAGAAGGGTAGCATTTTCAAGGGATAGCTGCCTTTCCAAGTCAAAGCATGAAGCAGCCCCCCTTCGCAGAAGTTGAACCATCCCCTTCTGCTCCGATATTTGTGCGTCGCGCTCTCGTATCTCAGTAGCATGATTTTCCTGTTCCTGTCGTAGCTCTAAGTTTTCCTTTGACAATTGATTGCACTTCTTGACAAGTTTACTGACCTCAGAGACAGTATGTGCCATGATTGTCCAACAAATCTAAAATGACGCACAATAACACCTGGAAATTTAGATGGCATCTTATCTGTATTGGTGTGTCGCTAAAAATTTCCCGGACTGAATTTACGTGCATATAAAAGAAAGCAAACACCTTTTAGGGGAATACCCCTTATACATGTACAGTACAATTTCTGAGCATTAATCTTGTTACTGATAAGACTAGGGCTTTGCGCATGCTGAATCGTCACTTTCACATGCAATGATGTAAAATGTGTACTTGCATGTAAAATTAATATATTCAACTATTGTTTAGTACATTTTATGTAAACTGAAGACATACACTTGTAACTCTGGATAGTTTACATAAAATTAGTGTTCGATTTCAACAGAGTTCGCTCTGCAATGACATTATATCTTTTTCTCCAGTGTTCTTTTTCTGGATATATTATCTAAAAAATGATAATTCAGCATAGCAATCAAACGCCTTTCGAGCTTTCTATCGACCCGCAATACCTTCTTTTTGTTGTTAATTTAATGTGGTTACGCTTTAATCAATTGCAGATTAATGAATATAAATAAATAAGTGAGGGAAAGTCAAATGAGTAAAAGCCCAGCAGGTAATCATACCAGTATATTTTGCAACATATTCCTACCGGGTTAACGACGAATGACATGGTTAAGTGACATATTAATTCTCCGTTTCAGTTTAGTGTTTTGGCAACAAACATATGCTTATAACTGTGTTGGAATGATTTTTAGGTTTGAAAAAAAAAAAGCTTTTACGATGCTTTTGGCAGTGTGAATCATTTTACTGATTTAATGTGAAAATGTTAAGGAGATATTAGCAGAGGTAATTTAAAGGGATTCTACACTGTGTAAACAACCATAATGCATTCCTTTATGGTAAACAAGGATATAAATTGCTGTTGGATATATTAATTGCAACAAAGGAAAGTGATCTTATTCAATGAATATACATGCATTTATTAGATTCAGGTGTTAAACAATAGTCAAAACCAAGGAACTGGAAAAAGGTTTTAGTTTATTTTTTCACCTCTACAGTATATAAAATAGAAAACACCGTAAAAAAATTAAAATGGAGGACACAAAATCATGTCTGTTGGCAGGAGAATAATTATTAGTTACATAATACAAATTCAGCAACTACGTACGGATTTACATTAACTTTCAATAACTAAAAATATGCCGACTTCTTTTACTCGGGCCCCTTTCATACTATGGTTTATGGAGAAAAGGATGCACACCAGGCTGGATCGATACATTTATTTTTTCCCCTTATCCACTTAGATAATACGGAAATGAACATTGTCATGTTATGAGATCATTCTTTTGCATCCAAAATGTATCGGGGTGAAATTACTAACTTTAGCTGATGACTTTAAACACCGGCGTTTGGGGTTTAAATTGTTATTTGGCTTTCGAACGATCTCCCTTACATCAGGCGTAAACATCACTGTTTTAACACTAACCATAAAAATACAACAATCACGTGCAAGAAAATTGAATGTTTTACTCGGGTATTTATCAATGAGAGTCGAAAGATTGCCTTTGTTTAACAGCCTTAGGAAAAAACGCTGCCACTATATTGTACAATGAGTTCACACCCTAGTCGTCGGCCATGCAAGTATGCATGATAAAATCCTACTTAAATTGCAGATTTACATCGAAAACTACACACTATCTCGCACCACATTACAAAAGCAGCCTAACTGACCATTAACGCTCGGCCACCCTATGTGCAGAAGCAAGTTGGTCGGCGAGTAAAGAATAGGCGCTAATAAGAATTGCTCATAAAAGAAAATGCAAAAAAAAAAAGAGACATTATGCCAAATGTATAAGGCTCTATAAAGTACAGTTCCCGTTAAAACATCCACTTTATATTCAGAAGAGGGTGGGGCATAAATCAAAACATCGTGCTGTAACTTATCCAGTAGGCAATAAAGCAATACGTTAATGTTATACACGTAACTATGGGTGTTCGAATAAAAACTGTACAGAATAAAGTATTATGATTATGGGATATGGCCCCACTGGCATTTTTCCTCTGTTGTCGACCTTCAGGTTTAATATCACTGTAGTTGTGTACCGCAGTTGGTGAAATTAAATTTCATTAAGCATCAACAGATGTCTCTATCTGTAAAGACAAGGGCGTATGCTGTTCATCTTCAACTTTCTTTTATAACCACTGCTTTTGTCTTAAAACATTTAGTCTTATTTCCCTGTATCAATTTAAGATAGTCAACTTAAAATGACAAATTGCCGTACGCATCAGTTAATACATCGTAACAAGAGGCATCTGGAGCTGGAGATCGTTGAATATTCGGGATGCTCACTCGGTGGATTATTGCGTTAGATGTGATCCAGCTTCCCGGTGTCTTAAACACTGAAAATATAAACCATAATTATGAAAATAATATTAATGCGTATATGCATGTAGATGCAAACAGAGCGTGTTGTTTTACAGACAACAGCGTACAATGATCAAGTTCAGCACCTTACATTAATGTGACAATGAGATTCAGTTTTTTTTTAATTGCTGCGCGAGGCATAATGCACTAGTACTACATGTTCTTTCATGCAATTTGTTGATTGTTTATTTTCCTTTCTCTCCATTTTTCACTTTAACTCTTTCAATCTCCAACTCTACAGAACTCTCCCCACTCGTTTCTCACTTCATAACTATCAATTGCCAACATTACATTATTATATTTCTTTCTTAAAACGTATGTTATCATACCTTGCGTTAATTTTACCTGGTCAAATTTAATGATGGATTATACCGTCAGTTTATAACAAATTACAACCTGAACTTTCAACTAAGCGAAGCGTTGTGTTAGGTCGGATCCCAACCTCTGCAAGTGTTTTGGTGTCGTTTTGTGAAGTCCTCTGTAAGGATAAATTCAAAGTATAGAGAAATGAGATTGAGAATAATTACACGGAGTTCCTCTACAAACATAATACACCGCTTGTTAGCCCCGATTTCGTTTTAAATTCAGTATGTTACCTTTTTTTTCCAACTTATGCATCAACTATCAACTTATGCCAACTTATTTTGATTTGATTTCACCTTATTTTCAATTTAAATGACTCGTATGTTTGAAAATAGTCTACACAACTTTTCTATAACTAAAAAGTATAAATTTTGATAAGTTTTGAAAAGTTTGATATTATATACAGACTTGACATTTAATATGGAATATTTTTTTCGAAATAATTTTTTATCAGTTTTTTCCTATTTTGCGGACTGATAAATGAAAATAAGGATTAAAATCGTGTTTTAATAACTTTAAATTATCTTTTTGATGTCATTGTGACATCAGTTCATTAATGGAATTCGCCAGAGAAACAAACAAAAACACATTGCCTATTCTATGTCATACGACTCCCATTAAAAGAGATATTTTGGATCTCCATAGTTTCCAAATTATCGTCTGTAAAAGGGTAATACGCTCCACAAAAGACCCTCATGTCAGTTGCTAGTCACAGTAATGGTCGTTGTTACGCCTGGCCTCTTCGTGGCTGTTGCCAGCGCTCTCAAGCGGCAAGGCATTTCTTGAGGGTAGGTTTTTAGAGTTCAATCTGGAATAGCATTCTAGGCATCGGTCTGAAATTGTCCAATCTGGTCCAGTTTTGTTGTAGGACATGTAGGCAGTTGATTGGTGAGTAATGGTCTACCGAAATATTGTCTATGTGGTTCAAATGTGGCGATTTTGATGACCAGGATAGCTGCTCATCCCCTTGGTTCTGTAAGTTATCTGCTATTAAAAGTGCTCTGTGTGAACCTGCAACCTCATCGTGCAACCTAGAATTGTTCCTAAGGTGCCCCCTATCAAATGATAGTCAAGTGGTTCCGAGATTATCCCTTTATTTGATCTGGTTCAGGTTTTCGTCGATGACTACCATTGGTGTTTTGGCACCAATGTGGAATCTACTCCAAATACTGACGCTGTCAATCACCCTTGTCACTTTAGACCCGGCATATGCTTCGTCGTAGGCCTCTTCTGGATATCTGTAAACTCTGTTTTGACTAATTGGGCGTTACAGGTGAAATCTGACCTCAATAAAGAAAGCCACGCAGTTTCAGTGTTCTACCCAGAATCGTTCATGGCCCCCAATTCATTAGAGAAACAGACGACGATGTTTTGCTGTATACAGTGGGTACCTCGGAGGTCATTAGGTGTTCTTACCTGCTAAAACCAGTTTGGTGTTCGCTAAGGGCTTTGAAAAACGCATTTTAGTGGCAATTTACCCCTCGTTCTGAACGGACTAAGTGTTTTTTGTTTAGTTGCAGCAGCGTATCCCGAAAGACAGTGGGTCCTGTACCCTGTAGGTAAAATTTTGATACATTGGGGGTGACCTCTGTGTAGGTACATCAGTCTGGGCATTACTCTATAAAACTGTGGAGACCGTTCCGTTTGGCGCTATGATCTGTCTGGTGATGTCTGTCTTTTTCGCGCCATTCTGCCTTAGATTAACAAATTTGTAATGCACTTCTTGACTCATCTTACGCACTGCAAAACTGGCCGCTTGCATGCAAAATTTCAAATTTTTCTATGCAGTAGTTGCTGAAATATGGATACTTTTTTGACAGAACCAAGCTTTGCCTAAGCCAAGCTTTGATCAGCCCAAAGGAACACTACCCAATTAAATCACTGCAAATTACATAGTGTAGCAGCGCAACATGCATGAAAGTCAGTTAATTGGTAGTGACACACATGACTGCATACTTTTACATTCACAAATCTTATATGAAATCGGAGTTTTTTTAAAAAAGAACGTATTTTTACCTAGGTATACCTTCGAAACTGAAATATTCCATATTAAATGTCAAGTCTGTAATTTTGAATAAATGTGAGGCTTACTTTTTCAACATTAAAAATTTGAACAGCGCTTTTCAAATTCACTAATTTAACTATAACTGCTAGAAAAATGAGAGTCCCCAGGATACTTACGATTCTTCTATCATCATATTTTAAAAACCAAAAGTTCAATAGTTTTTCAAACATTTTTCGAACTTGACGTTTTAAAGCTGCAATTGTCATCTCTGGATCATAACGCATCATAAATTCAAAGTCTTTATCTATCACCACGTTTAAGAATTCAACACTTTTCAAAGCCTCCGCTCCTTGCTCTGCCACCTGTCTTATTGATTCACGGCGGTTACTAGCTGCACGAGCAGTATGCCAAATGCCTACATCATCTTCTTCTTCGAGCTGAGGGAGATGATATGAAGTAAACGTAGTGGGCTCTTGTCCCTGTCTAGCAACGTTCAAATCAGCTTTCAACTGAGCATTTTCAGTCTCCAAATGTCGGACACGTTCATTAGCAGCGGTGACCTTAGATCTCAGTGACGTCAGTTGACCTTTTACTTTGTCATCATTGAGACGGATTTTCTTTAATCCAGCCTCTAGTTGGCGTATTTTCGTCATCCTGTCGTTCAGTTCCAGACTTTGATTATGGTTGGCAGCAAGAAGGCTGTCTCTTTCAAGGGTTAGCCGACTCTCCGAGTCAACGATTGAAGACGCTCCTCTCTCAAGAAGTTGAATCCTCCCTTTCAGCTCCGATATTTGTGCGTCGCGCCTTTGTATCTCTGTACCATGATTTTCCTGTTCCTGTCGTAGCTGTAAGACTTCCTTTGACAATTGATTGCACTTCGTGACAAGTTCACTGACCTCAGAGACAGTATGTGCCATGATTGTCCAATAAATCTGAATAGGATGTCCAATCACGCAGGGAAATTTAGATGGCGTCTTACCTACACTAGTATGTCGCTAAAAATTTCCCAAAGTGCCAGGATTAAATTATACGAACATAAAAGAAAGCAAACACCATTCAGGGGAATCCCCCCTATGCGAAACCTCCATCCTACTATTGTTATGGATAACACTAAGGCTTGTCGCAATGCTGAAGCCACTATCACAATGACGTGAACTGTGTACATGTAATATGAATAAATTGTTGTTTAAACCATTTTATATAAACTGAAAACATTAAATATATTTGTAACGCTGGATAGTTAACATACAGTTTGTGTTCGCTTTCTACAGTGTTTTGTCTGGATATATTATGTAAAAAAATGCTAATTCAGCACAGCAATCAAACGCCTTTCGAGCCATCTATCGCCCGCAATACCTTTTTCGGTTGTTTGTTTTATGTGGTTACACTTTAATCAATTAATTGCAGGTAAATAAATATAAATCAATAAGTCAGGGAAAGTCAAATGAGTAAAAGCCCAGCAGGTTATTAACGCTAATCATACCAGCATATTTTACAACATATTACTACCGGGTTAACGACAAAGGACATGGTTAAGTCACATATTAATTCTCCGTTCGAGATTAGTATTTCGGTGCCAACCTTTAAAGGTGTTAAACACAAAACAGTCAGAAGTTTGGGGTAAATTCATTATGAAATTATCCAATACTTTGTTTCTGATTAAGCAGCAAGAAGGGCAGTTTTTTACTTTTTTCTGACTCAAGCCCCCTTTCATCGGTTAACCAAGAAAAAGCCCCTTTCTTGAGAAGTTAAATCGTCCCTTTTAGCTCGGATTTTTTATCTACAACAGGAGAAATAAACCAAAATTTGACGAAATCAGTTGACCCTCCAAATCAATTTGACTTAGCTAGAGTTAATCAGTAAAATGGTTTAGTATTATTTCCTTCATTTTTTTCAACATATGTTTTGCAGCCTTTGTCATGCCTGTTTCCACCGGTACTCTTGCTGCACGGTGGCCACCTGCTTCTTCCACAGGATAAATATATCCTAAATTAAATAAGTATGTGATTTAACATGAGGTTAAAGTAGTACCGGTAGGCGTAAAAACATCCATGTATTATTTTTATAGTGGTTGTCTCTCAAACCACATATTCTGATATTCTTGTATTAAATCAAGTGGGTCGAATTCGCTGAAAAATTGCTACACGCTCCAGCTTTTGACAAGAGATATCTGAGGTGAATACACGGACAACTCACCGCAGTAGAGTTTTGTGTTAGGTAGGATTTCCGCCTGTGCCAGTGTTCTGGTGTCAATTGGCCACTATAAATTTTCACATTCATGGCTATTAGGAATGAGAATAAGGCTTTCCACAAAGAGATCCTCTACACATCTAGGGCGCTTCTTGTTAGCCCATTTATAGTTTCAGATTAAGTTTGTAGCCTTAACAATTTTTTCCACTTATTGATTGCTTATATGACAGAAAACCAGATATATTTTACTGTGATAACGAGAAAATTAAATGTAATACTGGATCTTACAAGTAGGTAGATTGCAAAATTCAGCCTTGATCCCCCCCCTTTCGATTTCTGAATAAAATTCACATCAATGTTCTCCTCTTAACATTAGAATTCTGACAAGCTGAATCATAGTTCTAAACCGTACCAAATGGCACCGTTCGCACTCTAAAATACCAAAGTTTTCGGGGGCCCCACGCCAAAGGGGCGAGGGTCGGCTTCACATCCGCAGACCCCCCTCCTCCAAATAATCATGAATCCGCCCCTGCTAGTGTCTTTTTCTTACGTTTCTTAATGTTCATAGTGATATTTGGTGCATATACTGGGGTAAGATTCAATGCACATGAAATAAACTCATGGGGAAAATAACACTCCATGACACGTAAAATATAAACATCAATCACCCAAGGTCTATGCTCCTATGATAAGCTATGTCACTGCCTTGGTATCAAATCTGATAACAAATAAATATTATAACAATAGTGAAATTTGTCTCCATGCATGCCTCATTCAAGAAAAAAAATAATAATAAAAGAAAGAAAAAAAAAAAACGCACCATGCTCATCCCTGATCTGACCATGCATCCCCTAAGTTTCAAATGCTTCATTTTGTATTTCTTATAGCCTAGGATAGCGGCTATTGCTAACTGACAGTTCTAAGGACGGACGGTATTGTACGGGGACAAGGATGGGTGGAATAACATGACATCTGGGACAAAATTGCGGGGATAACAAGGGGTAAATGTCAATACCGGTAAGTGCCATGTTCTTATCAATCTTAGGGGGAGAAGCATGTCACACTTTCATTATGGTCGATAATTATTTGAAAATAAAATAAGAGTTATTATTAAGGAGACTGAGATATTTATGATATGTGCTTTCTCTTCTGCGGTTATAAAGACGTTCGAAAGTGAAAGATATCGATCAACAGTTTTTCGGCAAGTAAACTTAAAGATAATTGATGTTATGATCAGTTTGTAAGACTAATCAAATAAAGACATTCGGGATGTGTCTCAATGTTTAGAAGAAGTGATAGCCAGGACTCCCAAAATATTTTGCCATGAAACTATTCCTTTTTATTACTTAATTATATTATCTTTATTATTATTATATTATTTTGCTGGCTTTAATGATTCTAAAATATCTGATTTACCTCTGTCTTATTTAGAGTAAAATATTTGTCATTGCTCGTTGAATATTATACAGCCTTACTGCATGAAATTAGTCAAATTTAGATCAAATTTATCTCTTCGAATAAGGATTACAATGATGATACTAATCAACCAGGATATCACTGATTGTGTTGATCGCTGCTTCACTTCTTCTCTATCGCAATGGTAATCTTGAATTCAGAGGTTATGTGCCTTATCAAATTTGACGTCTTATTACTTGGTAAAAAATCGCAGGTCAGTTGTTGTACTCTTTTGTGAGTATTGCCTTTGTGGTCCTCTCTTCCCCTGGCGATGGCAGCAGCTCTCTAAATCTGATTGCAGTCAGCGAGAGTCCCCGCGGAGTTTTTTCGATCAACGTGATATTTTTTTTTAAAAATGCACTCACCCTTATCTCAAGACCTTGTTACACCCGGTTTTTCAACGTGTAATTGGGGAACAATTTTTTTTACCAGCACTCAAAGAGAACACACAGGATTAATAGTAGGATTTGTCAAAAGAAAAGTATACCATCATACTTTAGACGTCAGTAGCAGGCTGAGAAAAATCACTTGACATTCTGATAATCAGATATTCCCTGAAGCATTTTACACCTTTGAAGATTAGGCAGTCAAGTTCCCCCAGTTTCCATTGTTGATTCAGACCATGCAAAAGAGAAAAAAAGGCGCACAAAGAGAAAAGGCACGATTCTTTCAAAGATATGACGGAGTCAAAACATCGATTTCTAGACTAGTTAACAAAAGATGCACGCACAAGGAAGACAATCTAGGTCATAAATAACGTTCGAATGGGGTCAACGAGCATTTTACGCACCTCGAAGGTAATGAGGAAGTGACTAAACAGAATTTTAAAGTATGCGACGACAGAAATTTAATCAATAATAGTAGCAAAAGAAAATTATTTTGAGTATATTTTCTAGTATCTTGGAATTCTCGTGTTTCTGAGATGGTCTATTTGCTGACTGTTAACAAATACATCTACGTGAAGATATAGTAGAGTAGTAACTTGCATTCACACAACGTGGTACATACTGGAATACACCGTAATTGTTCACAGGTTTTTCATCCTTTCCATGATTATCATAAACCAACATCCATGCTATCCGCTTCCAAATTTGTAAAGCAAAAAGCTTTATGCAGAGAAACCCTGTTCGTTTAGATTTAACATATAGAACATTATGCCCATAACTTCAGGAGGCTGGTATATGCAAACACCCGTCCATACAGTCCCCACTCCCCCAGATGACAATGGAGAATAATCAAGCGTCTGATTCACATGTTTCAAATACTTACTGAAGGTTAAAGAAACCACTGGCAAAATTGGGAAAATGGAAGCGATATTGAAAAGATTACTTAAGAAATCTAATGTAACATACGGGTCCATTCTGACTTGTTACTATCAGGGAAATAAGCACCACAGTTTCTATGTTGGCGATGGCCAGTATGTACACATACACTGTGTATTTACAAAATAAACACAGATGCAAAGAATGATATAGAAATGTCACCAGATACAAAACGTAAATATATCACAATTTGATATCAGACAATCCCAATTTCTTTTTTTTCTGCGCAAGCTGTTAGATATAATATGTGATTCTTACAGCATTTCAGTGTCGTCAACTTCACCATCATGCACAAGGTGATCATTTACGTCAAGAATAGCATCCATGAGACGTTTCCAAAATAAACGCTTTCCTGCTTCACTGTCGGACCATTTTATATAGCCTCTTGCTTTTATGAATTTCCGAAGCGATTTTGTCATGGCATCAAAGGGAACCGTTTGAAACATGACTGGTATCACTGAATTGTAGCCACGAGCCAATGACATTTCAAACTCAAATTCACACCACGAGTTTAGCACGAAATTTTCTGATAGAACGAGAACTGTCTTCCTGCTGTTATCCACAGCTTCGACGATAGCTTCAGCCAGAGATGCTCCACCAATGAAATCCCTCTGATCTATAATGACGTCAAGCTCGTTCTCCTCTTCTAAATGACGTAAAAGTTTATTCACTACCCAGTGATCATCACCATCATCGTATGAAATGTACACGTGGCCATGTGGCGGGGTTGTAATAAACCCTTGTATACGTAACCGGCGCCGTAGCAGATATAGTCGATATCTGAAATGTAAGACGCATTTGATATAAAAATTTAGCTTGTTTACCATAAAAACACGATTTTAAGATTTTTCTCCTTAAAGTGTACATGATAAAGTTTGTAAAATAATATTATGGGCATTCTGCACACAATTTTCAGTAACAAATTGTAAAAACATTAGTCCTCGGAAAACATGGTGTATCACACTGCATTCTTAATGATTAAAAGGGGAATGATGACGTCGTAAAAATTTTACTAATTAATTAATTTCAATACTTTTATTAATTACTAAGTACTAATTTTTGTTTCTTTGTGTATTTAAAGATTTTTAAATTCCACTCAGAAATGTACTGTCAAGAAGTGAGTATTGATGTACCGTTATAATTGATCTATTTTGGCGTTATACATGTATCAGACCTTTCTCTTTCTCATTCTCTCACAGCATTTATATATATATATATATACGTACTTGATTTTCCAACGATATATGTAAGCTGCTATTAAACCGCATGTCACACCAGCGATACTAGTTAGGGATATCCCGACAGACAGCCACTGATTTGGACCTTTTATCTGATCGCTTATATCACATTTCTCACGAAGTTCATTCAGTGTAGTCCACAGACTTATTTTTGAACCATTCATGGGGCAGTTGGAGTCGTTGGAAAATGTTACTGTAATATTTGAAAAAATAAGCCATTGAAGAAATTCCTCCCCATCGCAAAGAGTGCAGTCTACAGGATTGTTCGTCATATTCAAATGCACGCTGAAGCTCGAATTTACTTTCCTTATATTTTCCATCTCTTCTGATGAAAATGCCTGTAGTTTGTTGTTGCTCAGATCTATGTATTCCACAGACACGAAATTAACCATACTGAACGACACCTTTTTAAGGTAATTGCCGCGCAGCACCAGCCGCTGAAGGGAGACAAGGTGGTCAAAAAACTTCTTAGGGATGGTCCTGATCTCATTCAATGATAAATCCAAAAACTCTAAGCGTGGAAGTTTTACTGGACGTATCCCATCCTCACTTATTAAAGGTCCTAGTTTGTTGTCACCAAGATTTAGGGACCTCAACGATGGAAAGTGACCATTGAAAAAATCTCTTGGAAGACAGTTGAGGATATTATGGGAAGCATCGTAATGCTCCAAATTGTCCAATCCATAAAATATATAATATGGTATATATTTTGTACCAATTCCTTCCATTTTAAGAAAGCGTACCTTATTTGGATAAAAATATAAACTTCCTCTTAAGGCACAATAAGAAGAAACTCCATCGTCCCAAACTGGCCACCAACTCATTGACACGAATTCCAAATTTGCAGGTAAAAACACTTTTATAACCGGTAAAGGCATGTTTTGTTCATTTAAAGACCTGGCTACATGTACGTATTGTTTAAGCTTGAATGACGGGTGGCCTTTCCAAAAAGAATGCGTTAAGTCACATTTTGGAGGGGCCTTATTTTTGTTTATCAAGTTATTGTCGATTCTCATATACTTAAGTTTTCTTAATAGTGGATATAAATATGCCCAATAATCCCCAGCACTGTTTTCTCCAACATTCTCCTTTTCATTTTCTGGGAAAAACATCATGATATTATTTGACAGATCAAGATATTCCAAATTCGGAAAATAATGCAAGTTGTTCAAGTCAAATCCTTCTATTCTGTTTTGTATTAATTCCAGTGTTCTCAGTGGCGTATTTTCTAAGCATTTGAAAGCTGAAGCTGATATCGTCCAGTGTGAGACAGGTATGGCACCATTATCTCGTTTTTGAAAAATATTATTTAAGCCAATAGTTTCGACTGTGTTGTTCTTTAAGCCACAAATAAAACCTTCTACATTTTGCGAAGACAAAAAATAACTGCACTCCAGATCTAACACTTTTAAATGTGGAAAAATAGACAACATATCTGGGTCCGAACGGTTAATGTTGCAGTCAATGAAAGCAAGTTTTTCGATTGGGCAATTTTTCAACCACACGAAAGCCTTTTTTTGCAACTGTGTCTCAGTACTTGAATACCTCTTGAAAACTAGTGTCTTCAGAGACGATAGGTTACTATATCCAGGACCAAATGATAAATTTCCGTGAGGCAAATAAGACAAAAACAACTCCTCCAACTGGTGTAAAGGGGCTAATGTGCAATCTATGTAATCTTGTTGAACATTTTCACCCGAACCCATTCCACCAATATGAAGGGTTTTCAACGAGGTTAATTCACGAAACAAAGTTGGAGGGAAGGTATTATAGTCGACATTCATTCCTGGATAAATTGGAAACAGATTCAAATATTCCAATGCCTTTAAACCCGCAAAACTGTTCTCGTTGAACGCTGTTATGTCATTTCCTCCCAGGTAAAGTGCGTTTAGGTTCTCTAGATGACTTAATGCATATGGCGGTATTTCAGAAAGACCGATGTTTCGTAGGTCTAAGACGGTTGTATTACGTGGAATGTCCAGGGGTATGGATATGATGGACCTTCCAGAGCAATCAACTGTGTTGGAAGAGGGAGATGTGGTACTGCAGCGACACTCCTTTGGGCAATCTCCTAGAAAACTTTCTCCATCAACACTACTACACGTAGTACCGTTGCAAAAGAGCAACAAAAATAATATAATGCAAAGGTAACCCCCTGGTGCTTCTGTTGCAATATACATATTTTGTATCTAGCTTTATAGTGTTGATAATAGTATGGTACTATACTCTCGTACCTACTGCGCACAGAGTGACGTTGACAGTGTCGTGTTATATGCCAAAATGCCTTATGAGGCTCAGTGTTCAATTATCATGCAAGCACACTTTTCTAACTTCCTTAATATTCGTCTTTTGAATGAGTCCTTACCTTTCCTTGCCAAACGAGCATGAACATAAAGCCGCCACAGCATTCGATTCTTATGGCCAATTCATTCTTTAGTAGGTGTTAGTATTTCTATTCTAAATAAGAATGATCAACATAGTGTTAGCTTTACTGTTGAATGGTATTTACCGTGTTCGGTTAAGCTTCCCGAAAGGGAATTCCCCTTGAAGTTCAACAAACTACCTTATTGGTCATTCCACATTACAAAGTACCAGTATAACGGTTGATTGATTTCTGAAAAAGGTCCCGGCGCATATTGTTCAACCTTCCAGTAAGATTCAATTACATTGCAGTAAAAATATAGTCTGGATGCTGTATTTGCATATAAAGCAAGGATAATGATATTTAACTGCAGAGACAGACACTGCTTGAGGTATCTCACGTGGATTATGTCTTTCATGTCTTTAAAAGATCTACCCCCCCATCCCCCCCCCCCCCCCCCCCCCCCACCACACACACACACACACACTGGACCAATCGTAAGAAATGATTTAGGATGATCAACCTTCACTTAAGAGGAACATTCAGACAAATGTTAAAAGAAAAAAACTCTTTTAGGCCCCTTAGCCAGCGATTTCAAAGGGAGGGGGTTGAAAAGTGGTGGACTTTTTACCACGAAACTTGCGTGCACCTACATTCAATTTTGTCCATGGATGCATGACCTCTTCCCGGCAAAAAAGGACAGTTTGTTCGGCATCCCCTCTACAGCGCTGCGTGTCTCTCTTTCAAACATCTGACGAGGTCACATGATGCGTTACTTTCTATACATTTGTTTATTCATTTAAATCAGTCTGATCACAAATGACAAATAAATGCTGTATTACTGCAGTTTAAAATACAGGAAAATAACGTTTTTTTTATCTCAAGACTGTCGAAGCAAAGGAATACTCTGACTTAGAGAACCGAAATCACCCACTTTTATGTGAAATGTAAACCGAGACTATGCCGGCATTAGTTTGCTAGTTTTGGGTGGAACTTGAGCAACTGTTTGGCTGTGACTGTGGACCATACGCTAAGAACGTGCCCAATGTCGTGTCGCTAGATATCAGTATATTCCTAAACACCATCAAAGTGTGAACTATTCAGGTAGCTCGATCTTCATCTCTGGCTTTGACACGGAACACAAAGGGCTTGGATATCCCTGTGTGACACGTGGGATTCATCAGGATGGTACGTTACGCGTTGACTCAACTTAAAAGACTATTTCTATGTTGGAGTATATAACAGAGAAGCGTTCAACAAATATAGTTCTGTTGGTTTGGAGACACTGGCCAGCTTAGATTTAATTGTCCCCTATTTACAATATGATCCGCGATACTACTCTGTTACCACCTGGCCTGTTTCAGGACTTGATCAACTTTATTGTTAACTTTATTGTATGAACCGATTTTATCCAGTTCAGCAGATACATGTATACATGCGTGTGTAGACCATACACTGTCCCTATTACATCAGCTGTAACAGTATTTTTCTTCCATACATTCTACTACATAGGTGACCCTTTGTCACTCGCTCCTGGTTAAATAGCAACCTACTTCTCCGAAAACTTTTGTTTTCAACGAAGCGCATTGATTTGCATTTACAGGTACTACCGACTTCCAGGTACCCTGTAAAAGGGGCGCATTCATGTTGTTGATTGTCTTTGGAATAAAGAAAAAAATAGGTGAAATGTTTCATTTTCGTAAAGGAAATGCAGAATTTACTGTAGAACATATGGTGTATTGATCTAACTTGGACACGCTTGACATCTAGCTAGCTGCGTGCTCATTTCTTACTGAAAGCGAACAAGGCTGAATGAAGGTTGTGAGCAGATTCAGCAAATTGTACAGGTAAATGAATGACGCGCACTTTATACCTACACTGTATGTTCTTTGCGGTGGTATGTATTAAGCTATTCAAAGGAAAAGAAAGTAAACTGCAATACAGTGTTATACATTGTTACCTTGTACATTCACGTATCGTATTACATATATGTTCTCGGTTCTTCTTGTACTTAGCCGTTGGCAAGTAGCTCACGTTACCAGTTACTTCGATATGGAAGTAGTTCCGTATGTCCAGTGTCTTTTTCAGGTCAATTAAACACATACAACATTTGCTTTCCTCTTAATAATTAGATTTTTTTAAAACACACACACATATACCTGTAGATTCTATTTACACAATATACACAACTTATAAATTACCTTAGAGTTACAAATGTAAGAGTTGAACTTAAGAGTAGATGAGTAACAATTTTAAAAATTACATGTCACAGCTGTCACAGTTGGTTTTGATTAGATTTAAAGAAAACGTAACGCGTGTTCTTTATGACCATTCTTGTTGGCGCTCACGTTTGGTGCGTCTGCATTGGTGCAGCACAACATCTCATTTTGCAGAATGATTTTCATGTGCCTGTTTGGCTGCATCCATCATCGCTTCTATTGTTGGGCCTGAAATACATAAATAACCAATTCCATCAAACAACTAGAAAAAAGTCCTTGAAGAAATGTTGTAATTTTTTATTCTTTCCTGGACTGCACATAAAAGTCTGAAATTATCTCTGAGCCCCTTCTCTCTCAAATCCCGCAAAGCTTCGGAAAAAATTGGGTCACCTTGGACGCCTCCATTGTTATCCTCTGGTCAATTATCCTGTTGGTAATGTGATGATTTCTAAACGCTATAGATATTTATTTTAGTTTCTGAAATTGCTATCCATTGAATAAAAAACTGCTGCTCTTCTCAGGATAAATGTCCAGAGGATAACAATTTTATCCAATGGATAGTGGTATCCATAGGATAGCGCTATCCAGTGTCGATGAAACTGGGCCCTGGAGTTGGAGGACAAAGAGATGTATACTCCGAATACTCACCACAGTGGATCATTGCGTTAGGTGGGATTCCGACCTCTGCTAGTGTTCTGGTGTCACCAGGCCACTGTGGACATAAATCATTGAAATGAAAATAATAATACCTACATAGAGTACGCACCTCAAGCCCGTAGCCAGTGGGGACTAGGGGTAGGGGTGTCAAAAGAACCCCCTTTTTGCTGGGAAAATGTCCCCTTTTGGTTAATTTGATCTACCTTGTAGGTAAACTTAAGTTTCATGACAAAAGGTCCACATTAACAAAACAAAACAAAAAAAAAAAAAAAAAAAAAAAAAAAATACTAGCTACAGGCCCAGGTACCAGCAAAGTTGTGAAACACATGTAAATGCATTTTGTATGACGCAACTAGTACTTGCTTACCAAAAACTCGTTGTAAATTTTTTTTACGCCATCGTCACCTTAAAATTATCTTGCAATATAAAAATTACACACATTAGAGAAAACTCACAATTTAATTATTGTCTTACCTTACTAGATATTGTAATTTAGAAAGCTTTACTAAAATATATTTTCAATAAATTCAATTGTGCTTATTTTAACATTTTGAATATCACTGAAGCCTCAGTGAAATATCAGAGCTTCCAAATTTATAAAAATATTATTATTATTATTATTATTATAATTGTCGTTGTTGTTGTTGTTGATGTTGATGTTGTTGATGATGTTGTCAAAAAAAGAACAAAATTAAGGCAACTTACAAGCACTTGTTCTCCATATCGATATCCATGTGGACACCACCCAAAATGTTCTTTATTGTGTTCATCACACTGACGTATAATATCCGATACTTTAACTGCTAGATCGTAAAATAGATCAAAGATCTGTCCATATGTTTTCACATACAAGACATCGTTACTTTTCTCTCGTTCCCCAGCCCCTGTATCGTTTCCTATCACCTGTCTCCTAGCTTCACCAGCTGCGGTGTCAGTATGGCTATCGACTACGTTTTCTTCTTCTTCCTCATCTTCTTCTTCATCATCATTATCATACTCTTCTTCTTCTTCTTCTTCAAGGTGAGGGGGGTGCTCTGAATTAAACGCAGAGGGCTCGTATTCCTGTCTAGCAACGTTCAAATCAGCCTTCAACTGAGCATTTTCAGTCTCCAACTGCTGAATACGTTCATAGGCAGCGGTGACCTTAGACCTCAGTGACGTCAGTTGACCTTTTACCTCGTTACCATCGAGACGGGCTTTCTTTAATTCAGCCTGAAGTTGATGTATATTCTTCACCCGTTCTTTAAGTTCCAGACTTTGATTCTGATTGGAATCAAGAAGGGTCGCATTTTCAAGCGCTAGCCGCCTTTCTGAGTCAAAGCAAGAAGCCGCCCCCCTTCGCAGAAGTTGAACCATCCCGTTCAGCTCCGATATTTGTGCGTCGCGCTCTCGTATCTCAGTAGCATGATTTTCCTGTTTCTGTCGAAGCTCTAAGTTTTCCTTTGACAGTTGATCGCACTTCTTGACAAGTTTACTAACTTCCGACACAAGCTGTGCCATGATTGTGTAATAAGTAGAACGAGGAAGTAAAATTTACTCCTCAAAATTAAGATGGCGCATAAAGCATATCACACAAAAATCCCCTCAATGCACAGATCGAATTTTCATATAAAAGAAATCCAGTTATGGGAATCCCCCTTTAGATTACCCTCAACACAATTGCTATCGATAAGACATGGCCTGATGGTGAATCGAGCGTCACTACCACAATAGCTTAAAATAACGTCCTAATTACCTGTATGAGTACTTTCATAATCAAATCTGATAATTATTTCTACCATTCCGTTCAAAATATATAAATAAATAAATAAAAAGTTTATTTTGAAAGATGTTACTGTATAACATTTTCCTTTTACTTGTAGCATATATATATATATATATATATATATATATATATATATATATATATATATATATATATATATATATATATATATATATATATATATATATTTTTTTTTTTTTTTTGCTTTTTTAATGAAAAAAAAAGAATTACAATACGACGGTGTAATATTGTTTGGAATGGTTTCGATAATCTTTCGGTTTATACATTTCATATTTGGTTGGTCAATAGAAACATTCCGCAATTAATTTCTATTTTAAAGTTACATATTGATCAACACGGTGGTATCACAAAATATTTTTTTATATTTTTTTATTCACAAAAAGACAAAACAAAATACATATGCAAACATACACACACACAAGAACACACACATGACATTCACTATACATTAAGTAAACATGAAATGTATGTAGATAGCCAGACTACGTACAATACAATATAATACAGGTGATGCTGCACATTACACGAGACCTGAAATTTTTTAGAAATAATCTAGTGTACGGAAAGATTCTGAGAAAGAAGACCTATTACGTATCATAAAATATAGTAACTCTGACGTGTGCGTGTTGTGATATAAACTATATTTGTGTTGTCTGTGTCGATCGTTGTCGATGTTGATGTACCGGTATGCATGTAACATTGTACTGGAGCATTACAATATCTTAAGTATCCTATTAGTGCTTCAAATAATGGTTGGATTGCTAGTTAACAACAGGTGAAGCTAATTTAATATGATAAAAACTTCCTGGTTAATTTTAAATGAGTCACAGGCAGGTTGGGGAAAGTATGTTTATACAGCACCCAAAGCGTTTTACACCATTGAAGGTTACCAAATTAGGTTTAGCTGGGGTTGTTTGATAGGCAGTCTCCATTGTGCATTTACTCCTAAAGAAATAGGCAGCCGCATAAAAGTAAATAAAACAAGATTTTCCAAACACATGACGGGGTTAACAAAACTTTCACATCTATAAGGCCGGTGTCACGTGAAGAAACCGTCGTCGTGAATAAACCGTTCTGACGGATTATTCACGCGGGGGTAGCAGTCTGTTGACTTACAGTACGTAGCTGCACATGCATTTCCAACATTTCCCCGTAGAGAAAGTTGTAGTATTATCAAACACACAATTTCTTTTTAATGAAAATGACTGAACTCTGAATTGAAAGAACATTGTAGAGTGAAAACATTTATACTACGAGTCTTAGATCTACCACGTTTTTCACACAGAGCAAAACAGTTCAGTCACGATCAAAAGCTCACTTCAAACATTCCCCCGTATACTGTAGTATAAGATTATCAAATATATTCTCTCTCATGACGAAAACCACTGAATAATGAATTGAAAGATCATAGTTCAGTGCAAACATAGCGCCTACTTAGGACGACATCGTCATACCGGAAGTTACTTCTTTCAATCTACCCTCAATGCGCATGTGCAGAACGGTTTCGTCACGGCACGGGTCTATCACGCCACACCGGTTAACAAAACATGCACGAACCAGGAAGACGTTCTAGGTCGTATCAAATGCATTCAAATTGGGTCATTGAACATTTAACGAAATCTTTATTAAAGCAGTGACTTAGCAGGAATTTGATATATTTGTGACTACAGAATTTAAATCAGATTTTGCTCAGATAATATCAATCCGTTTACACGATATCTACGTGACGATGTAGTAAAACAACTTACATTAACAGAGTCTGGTACATATACAAAGCAGTAATTTTACTATATACATTACATACACACACATTCACACGGTACAATGTATTTTAAAAGTAACTGTTATTCACGGATGTTTTCTTCTCCCTATGTCTTTATATAAACCAATATATGTGCTAGCCATTTCTGTAGAGCTAGAGGCTTTATGCAGAGAAATCCTGTTCGTTTAAATTCAATATACTGTATATAACAGAACACCTATAATGAAAGGAGTCCATACAATCCCCAATCTCCAACCCCCGGGATGACAAGAGGGTAAAATCAAGCGTCTGATGCTCACGTTTGAAAAAAATCAGTGAAGGCTGGTAATGTTATTGAAAAGATCACTAAAAAAATCTAATATCATATACGTTTCCATTCTTACTTCCTTCCTACTATCAGGGAAATAAGCATCCCAATTACTAAGTTGTTGATGAGCACCGTATGTACACATTTACGGTGTATTTACAAAATGGACAGAATGCAAAAAAAAAAAAAAAATGAAATAAATAAATAATCAAATGAATTGATAAATTTAAAAAAAATCACAATTTAATATATCAGGCGTGTTATTTTCCTTTTATTTGGACATTTTTCTGCACAAGTTGATAATTATAAATATAAAATGTGGTTATTACAGCAAATCGGTGTGGTCAACTTCACCATCATGCTCAAGTTAATCATTGACGGCGAGAATAGCATCCATGAGACGTTTCCAAAATAAACGCTGTCCTGCTTGGCTGTAGGACCATTTTACATAGCCTCTTGCCTTTATAAATTTTCGAAGTGATTTCGTCATGGCATCAAACGGAACCGTTTGAAACATGACTGGTATCACTGAATTATAGCCACGAGCCAATGACATTTCAAACTCAAATTCACACCACGAGTTTAGCACGAAATTTTCTGATAGAACGAGAACTGTCTTCCTGCTGCTATCCACAGCTTCGACGATAGCTTCAGCCAGAGATGCTCCACCAATGAAATCCCTCTGATCTATAATGACGTCAAGCTCGTTCTCCTCTTCTAAATGACGTAAAAGTTCATTCACTACCCACTGATCATCACCATCATCGTATGAAATGTACACGTGACCAGGCGGGGTTGCAATAAACCCTTGTCTACGTAACCGGTGTCGCAGTAGAAAAAGTCGATATCTAAAATATAAGACGCATTTGATAATTAAATAGAGCTTTTTAACATGAAAAAAAAAATTTAAAGACCATTCTCCTTAACGTGTAAATGATAGTGTTGGTAAAATAATATTAGGCGCATTTTACATACATTTTAATTAACATATATCAGTCTCTCTCATTCTCTTTCTCTCAACACACACACACAATCACACACCTTTCACAACTATGATGTCATCATCACATCCATAACCAAATAAACCCCGAATATAATACATACTTGATATTCCAGCGATATATGTACGCTGCTATTAAAGAGCAGGTCACACCAAGGATACTAGTTAGGGAGATCCCGAGAGACAGCCACTGATTTGGACTTTTTATCTGATAGCTAGTACCACGTTTCTCACAAAGTTCATTCAGTGTATACCGCAGACCTGTTTTTGAACCATTCATTGGGCAATCGGAGTCGTTAGAAAATGTTACTGTTATATTTAAAAAAATAAGCCTTTGAAGAAATTCCTCACTATCGAAAAGGGTGTAGTGTATAGGATTGTTTGTCATATTCAAATGAATACTTAAGCTAGACTCTACTATCAAACCAGTTTCCAAATCTTCTGATGCATCTTCTGGAATAAATAAATGTCTCGTTTCCAAATTGTCTGATGAATCTATGGAAGATGCCTCGGAGTGGGTCACTTCTCCCACGGACTTGTACAGGTGAAATTCTTCTATGTTGTTGTGAATCAATTCTAGTGCTTTCAATGACGTATTTTCTAAGCATTTGAAAGCTGTCGCTGATACCTTCCATTGTGAGAAAGGACGTCCAAAAATATTTTTCATGCAAATAGTTTCAATTAATGGGTTGTTCTCTAAGCCACAAATGAAATCTTCTTCATTCTGTAACGACAGAAAAGAACTGCACTCCAGATCTAACACTTTTAAACGTGGAAAAATAGACAACATATCTGGTTCTGCACGGTTAATGTCATAGCCAATAAAAGCAAGTTTTTCGATTAGGCAGTTTTTTAACCAGACAAAAGCCTCTTTTTGCAACTGTGTCACAGCACTTGAATGCATTTTGAAAACCCGCGTCTTCAGAGACGATAGATTACTATATCCAGGACCATAT